GCAGGTCAAAACTCCCATGCTGATCAGTAGTGGGATCATGCCTGTGAAGAGCCACTGCATCTTACTCCAGCCTGGGCAACATAGCCAGACCTCGTCTCTTAAAAAAAAACTACAATCCAGCATGCATTACTTATGGATCTGTGTAAATATGAAAACATGAACTGGGCTGGGTGTGGTGGCTCATGCCTTTAATCCCAGCATTTTGGGAATCCAAGGTAGGCAGATTGCTTGAGCTCACTAGTTCAAGGCCAGTCTGGGCAACATGGCTAGACCCTGTCACAAAAAAAAAAAGAAAAGCTTATTTTGTTGTTAGAGCCGTGTCAATCAGTGTAAAATTTCTGTGATTTTAAAATGGAGGGCTGCCATCTAGTGGACACACTTAAATACAACCTTTAAACTCTTCCATAATAATAGTTTATGATGCAATCAAATAAAGCTTTTCAGACTCTTCCACACAACATGTAAAGAAAGAAGGTATACTCTGATAGTTAACAGCTTTGGAGTTTATGAGACCTAGGTATGAACCCTAGTTTTCTTATTTACCGTGTAACCTTGGGCAACGTTATGCTGCATCCTGCACTGCAGAGGGGTTTAATGACCTAAGAGGGAACCGTGAGGGATAAGGAAAGACACAGACACAGACAGAGAAATATAAAAAGCTGGGCCAGGTGGTCCAAGAGGTGAGGATATCAGTCTCTTCGGCCCTGACCTGTCTCAGTGTACTTTTATATGTTCACAAAGCACATAGCAGAGGGAGGGTACAGTTACTTAGAACAACCTGTAGTTATTATTCTCATACTTCGGTTAACATACTTAGCTAAAAACTACCTTGCAGCAAGGTCGGTGAAAGCCGGTTATCTCTTTCTAGGCCCATTTGTTCTCTCCGAGACATATGCATCCTCCTATTATGGTTTCACTTCCCTGAAGCTCACCCAAAGTTCACAGCAGCCTTGGTGCTGCCCCCACAGAGGGAGTGGGCTACTCCGGCTCCCTACACATTTCAAACCTGTCTGTACCTTAGTGAGTTTGAACTCAGACCTTCATTGATTTAACATAGACAGTTCCCAACTTACAATGGTTCAACTTACAATTTTTTGACTTTATGATGGTATAAAAACGATACTCATTCATTAGAAACCATGCTTCAAATTTTGATCTTTTCCTGGGCTAGTGACATTCACTCTAATACTCTGGCAATGCTGGGCATGGAAGCCCGCCACAGCTGCCAGCAGCCATGTGATCATGAGGGTTAGTGACTATTACTCTATGGTGTACTGTTTTGCCAGATGATTTACCTGCAGGTTAATCTAAGCATTTAGGCTAAGCTATGTTTGCTAGGTAAGGTGTACTAAATGCATTTTCAACTTACAATACTTTCAACTTACCATGGGTTTATGGGGATATAACCCCATCATTAACGTAGAGGAGGCTGGGCATGGTGGCTCCCACCTGTAATCCCAGCACTTTGGGAGGCCAAGGAGGGTGGATCACTTTAGGTCAGGAGTTCAAAAACAGCCAGACTAACAAGGTGAAACCCTGTTTCTACTAGAAATACAAAAATTAGCTGGGTGTGGTGGCGCGTGCCTGTAATCCCAGCTACTCTGGAGGCTGAGGCAGGAGAATCACTTGAACCCAGGAAGGCGGAGGTTGCAGTGAGCTGAGATCACACCACTGCACTCCAGCCTGGGCAATAAATGTGAAACTCCATCTCAAAAAAATAATAGAGGAGCATCTGCATTATGAAGCACTCCAGTGAACTAGACTAGACTGTGGGGATAGTTTCCCAGATTGTGGGAGATAGGAGAGCACAAAATTAGACAGTCTCCTCCTAGAGTTTAATAAGGGTATGTGTTAGGGGCATTTGGGAGGGACTACTACGAATATTTTAGAGGCAGTTAGAAATTGGGTTTAAATCTTAGATCCCTTATTAATCCTCATATAACCTTAGGCAAATACCAGTCTCAAGGATGACATTAAGACGTAAGTTCAACAAGATCCGTAACACTGCTTTGTTCATCACCCTTTTCCTAGTAATACTTGGCATATAAAAAGCCTTCAATAAATATCTGCTGAATGAATGAATGACATTACCTGAACACATTTCCTGGTGCATAATAAGCACTCAATAAAGTTTAGATATTAAGGAAATTACATGACTATGTATGTTATGTACACAGGGAACCTTGGACTTAAAACAATTTGATTTAGATTGATACATAATTTATCAGTTAAAAATTGTTATAGACACTTATGAAAGGGAGCAAACTGATGCATGTAACCCTATCAGTATTGAGGGAAGGCCAGGTGTGGTGGCTCACACCTATAATCCTAGCCAAGGATCTTCTGTAATCCCACGCCTGTAATCGGAGGCCAAGGCGAGTGGATCACTTGAGGTCAGAAGTTCAAGACCAGCCTGGCCAACATGGAGAAACCCAATCTCTACTAAAAATACAAAAATTAGCCAGGCATGGTTGTGCACGTCTGTAATCCCAGCTACTTGGGAGGCTGAGGCAGGAGAATTGCGTGAACCTAGGAGGCGGAGGTTGCAGCGAGCCAAGATCATGCCACTGCACTCCAGCCTCAATATATATTGAGGAAAAGGATCTCAACTATGCAATGGCAGAAAGATATGGTCTCTAATGCCTACATATGTCTGCTACAAAGAAATTTACACCAATAATGGGAGACAGTTATCAGAATCTATCTCTCAAAAGTAGGAGAAGCGGGTGGCTGGATCATTTGAGGCCAGGAGTTTGAGACTAGCTTGGCCAACATGGAGAAACCGCATCTCTACTAAAAACTACAAAAATTAGCTGGGTTCAGTGGTGCAAACCTGAAACCCCAGCTACTCAGGAATCACTTAAGCCTGGGAGTAGAGGTTGTAGAGAGCCAAGATTATGCCACTGCATTCCAGTCTGGGCAACAGAGAGACTCTGCCTACAAAAAAAAAAAAAAAAAAAAAAAAGTGGGAGGAGGGGGCATTAAATAGCCTTAAATCTCCTTCAAATGAATGTCCCTCAAAAATCTCTGCCAAACTCTCCCTAGAATAGCCTTCTGAATTCTACTACCTTGAGGTATGTGTTCCCTCACTTTGTTTTATAGTAAAACAGTATTTATTAAAAACAGGCCAGGTGAGGTAGCTCACACCTGTAATCCCAGCACTTCGGGAATGACATTTTTTTGTTTTACTATAACCTGTGATTTTTTCTTTAAATTAGCTGTTAAGCCCTTAGTCAGATTTCACTCACTCTTTATCAATTTTACAGCATCCTTTCTGGGAATCTGAACTGCCATCATGACAACTGATTATATGATTCCAAGCCATAATACACTTTTTTTTTTTTTTTTTTGAGACATGGTCCTGCTGTCACCTAGGCTGGTGTGCAGTTGTGCAGTCACGGCTCATGGTAGCCTCGACCTCCTGGGCTTAAGCTATCCTCCTACCTCAGCCTCCCGAGTAGCTGGGACTACAGGTTCATGCCATACTGCCCAGCTAATTTTTGCATTTTTTGTAGAGGCAGGGTTTCACCATGTTGCCCAGGCTGGTCTCGAACTTCTGGCCCCAAGCAATCCCAATGCCTCAGCTTTCCAAAGTGCTGGGATTACAGGTGTGAGCCACCTGCCTGGCCTAATACACATTTTTATATCCCTCCTGTGCCCCCATACTTTAACTGGAGAAGAATGCAGATTTAACCTAGTAATTGCAATATAATAATTGCTGAATGAAGCCAGGTGCAGTGACTCCTGCCTGTAATCCCAGCACTGTGGGAGGCTGAGGTGGGTGGATCACCTGAGGTCAGGAGTTCGAGACTAGCCTGGCCAACATAGTAAAACCCCATCTCTATTAAAAATACAAAAAATTAGTTGGGCGTGGTGGCAAGCACCTATAATCCCAGCTACTAGGGAAGCTAAGGCAGGAGAATTGCTTGAATCCAGGAGGTGGAGGTTGCAATAAGCCAAGATCATGCCACTGCACTTCCAGCCTGGGCAACAAAAGTGAAACTCCCATCTCAAAAAAAAGCGGGGATGGGCAGGCACAGTGCCTCACATCTGTATCCCAGCACTTTGGGAGGCCGAGGTGGGCAGATCACAAGGTCAGGAGTTTGAGACCAGCCTAGCTAACATGGTGAAACCTCATCGCTACTAAAAATACAAAAATTAGCTGGTCGTGGTAGTTCGTGCCCTGTAATCCCAGCTACGTGGGAGGCTGAGGCAGGAGAATTGTTTGAGCCAGGGAGGCGGAGGTTGCAGTGAGCCGAGATCACACCACTGCACTGCAGCCTGGGTGACAGAGTGGGACTTCATCTCAAAAAATAATAATTGCTGAATGAATAAACAAACACAGTAAGAATTCCAAAGAGCTAAAAAATGCCCATCTTCCTGCTCTGTTCAATATTAAAGAAATATCTTATATGCCCTAGATGTGTTTGTGGACAATAATCTATTTCCATCAATATAACATACAAATGAGTAAATCAATACCTACGTAAAATAGTTAAGTTGAACTAAGGAAATAATTTGATCTTTTGCATTTTTGAAGTCTAATTTCATGTTTGGACTATAATCATCTTAAAATGTGATAACCCCCACAGTGGATTCCAATTAGAAAACATCCAGGAAAGTAATTTGTTATGCATTTATGGAACCATTAAGGATTTGCCCTGACCTGTTTCATACAGCTAGATTAAGTAACCGGGTCTAGTGAGCAACACCCCAGAAGTCTGAAGGAAGAGGAGTTTACAAGTATTTGCAGATGTCCCGCTGTTATGGCACTAAGAGCTAGGCTACCTCTGTTGTAGTCACCCATGGTGTTTACCCAATAATACATTAACTGTTGAAACACTCTTGACAACCCAGTGACCTCACATCTCCTCATATTCTTAGGTCTAATGCGCCACCAGTTGGAGATTCTGGCTTTACACAAGGTAGTAAGTGATGAAGTAATCCCCCTGGTGATCAAACTTTTTTTCTTTTCATAAAGTGCTGCCAAGTCAACAGAGTCCCATTTTAAAAGACCCTTTTAATGAGAAATTTCATCAGGAGGGTCAAACACAAATGTATCAGTTAAGTGAAGATCTCTACATAGCATTAGGATAATTAACAGCATGGTCACCAGCAAGATTATCATTCATATACCAAGCATTATATTTTACATTCAGCAGACTATCAAATGTCCTTTAATTTCACAAATGACAATATGATACATACTGTGTAAGAAGCACACAATAGTTTTGCAGTACAACTTCAAACTGTATACAAATTGGAATATAGATGTTAAACACTGGTGTACCAACAGTATTTCTGAATTTTAGATAAACTGCATACAAAATTTGCAGTGCAAATATTAGCTACTCTGAAAACTTCCCATAATATAAAAATGGTACTTTGAGATGCAAATTTTACTAAAGTATATAAACATTTAAAATAATCATTAAAAACAACATTAGAATTTATAAAGTTAGCTATAAAAATATATTGGCAGTCACTTTTCTTATAAAGGTACCATTCACTACATTACAAAATAGTCTCTAACATAAAACTGCCCTAATAACCATACTATTATAGAATCTGATAAACCCTACATTAAATTGATTATAAAATTGTCTTGGAAAAACTTTGGTATGCATCTTCAGAAGGTTTTTAAAAAATAGTATTTTAAGGGCCTGTAAACATTCCATTCTATTAAAGCTCAGCAGAGTAAGTAATGGCTATTCAACTGCACACAGAATCTAGAATCAAAGAAACAATTTATTATATATTTGTAGAAAATCACCATTACTAGAGTGAGCAAAAATACCAACTATTTAAAAGTATCACACTTTTAAACAGTTCTCTTTGCATTCTGATAAAAAAATGTTATAAAATTACCAAACTCCATTCATGTACCTTAGATGCCTTTTAGGATAAAACCTCAAAAATAATTAACCCAGTCTCAAAAATCCATTCAAGTCCAATAAACAAACTTCAAAAAACCCACTTAAAAGACCTGACATGAGAACAAGTATACATAATCAGAACACATACTTTATATATTTAGTAATGTATTAGGTTTTTCTCTTATTTTTGTAAATTAGTATTGGCAGAAATAAAATACACATGCATGCACGTGCACGCACGCACACACACACACACACACACACACACATATAACTAAAAAATTTCAGCAAACAGAAATGCAAACCTGTAGGGTAAATTATTTTTAAAAATTTAGTTTATCAAATTTCATCTTCTCTGCCATTTTGGATTGGCAACTATTGGTTACTTAGAAAATTTAGAATGCTGAAAGTTCATTTCTTGCTTCTTGAATATGTTTAATTTCTACAAAGCTTCCAGTTGTGCCCATAGCTTCCTTGAGGTCATTTTCCACTTTCTCCTCTGTTACTAGATAGCGTGCATAAGATCGTTATCCTTGAGTTGGAAAAGCCTAAATAAAAAGCTTCATTTTTGACCTTTAATTTATAAAACTCCACTAAGAAATCCATTTAATTTTTATGGAAGTCCACAAAAATGTTTTCTTTCTTAAGAATCAAACACTTTTATTGGAATAAAGATCCTTCAAAGTTTTTAACTCTTCTATTAGAGTTTTATTTTGATTTTCCAGGACTGCAACTCGATTTTCCAGGCATTTCACATATTCTTTCTTCTTTCTGCGACATTCTCGAGCAGCTTCTCTAAATATGAGCATTTAGAAAACAATATTAGAGAAAACTTTACCTTCTTTAAATGTTAAATGGTAAATGTTCTTCAGTAATTCTCCCTGGTCACTTTACTTCATCATTTAAAAACTTAAAGTATCATCTACACATAGAGAATACATAGATCTTAAGCGTAGAATTCAGTCAGTTTTGGCAATTGTGTACACCTGGATAACCCACACCTCTGTCAAGACAACAGAATGTAGTTCTGGGCAGAAAGATCCCCCCCTGCCCCTTCCTGGTCAGTCCCCTTCCAAGCAACTATTGTTTTGACTTTTATTAGCAGAGATTAGTTTTTTCCTATTCTAGAAGCTCATGTAAGTGTCACACACTATGCACTCTTGTGTGCCTTCACTCAGCACATCACTGAGGTTCGTCCATGTTGCCGCATGGTGGTTTGTTCCTTTATGTTGCTGGGCATATTCCACAGTATGAATGTAACCACCATTTGTTTATCCAGTCTCTTGGGCTGTTTCTAGGGTTAGCTGCATAGGCACTTTTTTTTGTAGACAGGTTTCATTTCTCTTGAATAAATAACAAAGAGTGAAATTATAGGTCCTCTGGTTAACCTGTGACACATAATTTCTGTTATTTACATTCAAATTACAATGCCTGTTTGGCAATAGTTCTGTGCATGTCGTAGAACATTTCTATGAAGTCACACGTAAGTTATATATACATATAGAAATAGGAAGTGTTAACTGAGTGTGGTGGCTCAGGCCTATAATCTCAGCACTTTGAGACAGTGAGGCGGGCGGATCACCTGACGTCAGGAGTTCGAGACCAGCCTGGCCAACATGGCGAAACCCTATCTCTACTAAAAATACAAAAATAAAAATAAAAAAAAGGAAAAAAAAGATCCAAGAGTCAAAAAAAACAAAAAAAAATCCCAGAGTCAAACCAGAAAAAAAAAATTAGCCCTGGTGGCACATGTCTGTAATCCCAGCTACTCCGGAGGCTGAAGTAGGAGAATCACTTGAACTAGGCAGTAGGAGGCAGAGGTTGCAGTGAACTGAGACTGCGCCATCGTACTCCAGCCTGGCGACAGAGCAAGACGGTCTCAACAAAAAAAAAGAAAACACAGTATTAAGATTTTTATGCTATATATATGTAGATATTATTTGCAACTTGCTTTTTTTAGTACAAATCTATATTTTTAAAAGCACTGTGCAAAATCTGTAATATGAATATACCACAGTTTAACTGTCCCCTCACAAAAAGACTTTTACTTATTTATTTTACATTTAAGCTCTGTTGGAGTTAACAAACAGGTTTTTAAGTGGCTTCCAGTAAACACTCCTTTTCTTTTTTCTTCTTTTGTTTTGCGACAGGGTCTCACTCTGTCACACAGGCTGAGTGCAGTGACTATAGGCACACACCACCACACCGGCTAATTTTATTTTATTTTTGTAGAGATGAGGTCTCATTCTGTTGCCTAGGCTAGTCTCACTCCTGGTCACGGTGTTGAGATTATGGGACATGTATTTCTTGCAGGATCACAAGCTATATTCACTTAAAGTCCAGAGACAGTGCCAATTTATATCCACTGAAGTACAGAGAAATAAGGGTGAAAAAATGAAGAAGAAAAAAAAACAAAAACCCAGAGCTGGTGGGGGGAAAGATTTGCCAAATTGTCCTCCAGAGTATTTGTGTCATTTACATTCCCATGGGCAATACATGAGAGTACCTGTTATGTTATGAACATTTTAAAATTGTCATTAGTCTAGTGGCTGACAAAAAGTGAATCTGACTGCTTTACCATTTTCCTGATTATGCACCAAGTTAGGTATCATTTCATGTTTACAAGGCCATCTTTCACAGACCAGCTTCCTTCTGTTAAGTCTCTTATTTACAGAAATCAATCTTTATCTATACATCTTGTAATTCTTTCTCTTCATATAAAAGTTGCAAATATTTTTCCCAGTTAAGAGACTTATTTTTAAGTCTGTTTATGGTATCTTTTGTTACATACAAATAGAAATGTTGGGGCAAGTAGATACTATAAAACTCTGTATTTCCCTCAGTAATATATGTGAGGTACCCGTTTCCTTATATGCCCAAAGACAGTCAGTATTACCACTTTGTAATTTTTGCCATGTGACATCTGCTTATTAAAAAATTTTTTTTTTCTTTGAGACAAAGCTTCTCTCTTCTTGCCCAGGCTGGAGTGCAATGGCATGATCTCAGCTCACCACAACCTCCACCTCCCAGGTTCAAGCAATTCTTCTGCCTCAGCCTCTCGAGTAGCTTGGATTACAGGCATGCACCACCAAAGCCTAGCTAATTTTGTATTTTTAGTGGACGGGGTTTCTCCATGTTGGCCAGGCTGCTGGTCTCAAACTCCTGACCTCAGCTGTCTAGCCCACCTCCGCCTCCCAAAGGGCTGGGATTACAGGTGTGAGCCACCATACCCAGCCTTCATTGCTTATTTTTATAGTTGTAGTATATATGTATATGACCCTAAAACTACCTATCATTTTAGTTTATTTTCTAAAATTATATCATACTTTATGTAGTCTGTTGCAACCTACTTTTTTTCACTCAACTTAATTTTTCTAAGATTTACTCATGTTGAAATGATTATTCATTCAATCATTACAAATAAACATTCCATTGTATAAATACAGTCACAATTTATGTATCTATTCTTTTTCCCCCATTTTTACGTTTAGGCTCAATATGTACCTATTCTGGTATCAATGTATCTTAAGGTTGTTTCTTGATTTTTTGCTGTTGTAAACATTCTTTTTTTTTTTTTTTTTTTGAGACGGAGTTTCACTCTTGTTACCCAGGCTGGAGTGCAATGGCGCGATCTCGGCTCACCACAACCTCCGCCTCCCAGGTTCAGGCAATTCTCCTGCCTCAGCCTCCCGAGTAGCTGGGATTACAGGCACGTGCCACCATGCCCAGCTAATTTTTTGTATTTTTAGTAGAGATGGGGTTTCACCATGTTGACCAGGATGGTCTCGATCTCTTGACCTCGTGATCCACCCGCCTCGGCCTCCCAAAGTGCTGGGATTACAGGCTTGAGCCACCGCGCCCGGCTGTAAACATTCTTATACATACTTCCTGCAAGTTTCTCTCAGTCACATAGACTAAAACAGCTGGGTCACAGAGCACATCCATGTCAACTGTACAAGATAAGGCCTAATTAATTTCCAAAGTGGTTGCACCAATTTACGCTTCTACAGCAGTATCTATGAATTCCTGACCATTGTTCCAAATCCTTGCCAACTCTTGGTTGGACTTTAAAATTTTTGCCAAACAGGTGGGTATAAAGGGTACATAAGTGTGTAACATTAATGTACATTTATTTGATTACTAATAAGATTGAGTAGTCTTTTATAGTGTTTTGTAGGGTTTTTTTCGTTTTTTTTTTTTTTTTTTTTTTTTTTAAGAGTCTTGCTGTTGCCTGGGCTGGAGTACAATGGCATGATCTTGGTTCACTGCAACCTCTGACTCCTGGGTTCAAGTGATTCTCTTGCCTCCACCACATCTGGCTCATTTTTTCTGTTTTTCATAAGGATGGAGTTTCCCTATGTTGCCCAGGCTGGTCTCCAACTCCTGGGCTCAAGTGATCCACCCCGCCAGGCCCGTATGTTTTTTTTTCTAGTAAATTTTTTTCTGCGTATTTATGGACATGAGAAAAATGTGTAGTGATCAAGTCAGAGTATTCAGGTGTCCATCACCTGAGCATAATAGGTTTTTGTTAAGTATGGTCATCCTCCTCTGCCATGAAACACTGAATTTGTTCCTTTTAACTTACTATATATAGGTTTACATCCTTTAACCTTTTCATCTTCCTCCTTGCCCCTCACCATTCCCAGTCTGTTATCTATTTTTCCATTCTCTCTTTTTTCTTGAGATAGGGTTTTGCTCTGTTGCCCAAGCTAAATATCATGTTGCCTCAAACCCGCTGGGCTCAAGCAATCCTCCCAGCTCAGCCTCCCAAGTAGCTGAGATTTCAGGCATGTGCCACCATACCTGGCTAATTTTTTATTTTTTGCAGCAACGGGTATGTTGCTCAGGCTGCTGTTGAACTCCACGCCTCAAGAGATCCTCCCGCCTTGGCCTCCCAAAGTGCTGTGATTACAGGAGGTATGAGCCACCATGCCCAGCCCTATTTTTCCACTCTATACCTCCATGTGTTCAAATATTTTAGCTCCCACATATTAAGTGAGAACATGATATTTTTCGTTTTGTGCCTGGCTTATTTCACTTAAGATAATGACCCTCAGTTCCAACCATGTTGCTGCAAACAACATGATTTAATTATTTCTTAACCATTTATCCAACGATGGACATATAGGGTGATTCTTTCTATTAGCTATTGTGCAGGAATAGTGCTGCAATAAGCTTATGAGTACAGGGATCCCTTTCATATATTGATTTCTTTTCCTTTGGGTGGATTTCTATTTTTAGTTTTTTGAGAAATCTCTATATTGGTTTTCATAGTGGTTGTACTAGCTAATTAAAAATTTTTTTTTAGGCTGGGCACATGGCTCACACCTAAAATCCTAGCATTTTGGAAGGCCGAGGCAGGTGGATGGATCACTTGAGCCCAGGTTTGAGACCAGCCTAAGTAACATGGCAAAACCCCATCTCTACAAAAAAAAAAAATACAAAAATTAGCTGGGTGTGGTGCTGTGCACTTGTAGTCTGGAGCTACTTTGGAGGCTAAGCTGGATCACTTGAGCCCAGGAGGCAGAGGATGCAGTAAGCCAATGTTTTGCCACTGCACGCCAGTGTGGGGTGACAGAGTGAGACCTTGTCTCAAAAAAACCCACAAAAACCAAATTTAACTTTTCTACTTTTTGAACTTTTTTGTTAAAAACTAAGACATCAACATACACATTAGCCTAGGCTAATTAGCCTAGGGTCAGGATCATCAATCTCACTGTCTTCCAGCTCTGCACCTTATCCCACTGGAAGGTTCAGGGACTATAACACACAGGGAGCTGTCATTCTCTCTTTCTTTGTGAGACAGGGTCTTGCTCTGTTGCCCAATGATAACAAGGCCGCCTTCTGGAATACCTCCTATAAGGGCTGCCTTGAGGCTGTTTTACAATTAACTTTTTTTTTTAATAAGTAGAAGGCATACACTTTAAGATAATGATAAAAAGCATAGTAAATTCACAAACCAGTAACATAGTTATTTATTATCAGTATCAGGTATTATGTTCTACACATAACTGCATGTGTTACACTTTTATATGACTGGCAGCACAGTAGGTTTGTTTACACAGCATCGCCACAAATATCTATGAATTACCACAGGGCTTTTTCAGCTCCATTATCATTTTGTGGGATCACTGGATTCCCATTTACTTAAACACTGTTATGCAGCTCATGACTGCATACAATTCCAGTTAACATCTGGTTATGTTTTGAGATTTGTAAAAACATTACCTATTCTGGCAGTATGATTTTGACCTACCTGTTTTTCATTAACCTTATTTCTCTTTTCAACTGGGGGTCATCTGTCTTAGTTGTCTGAGAAGTAAGAGACACAGGAGATGTCATCACCACAGTTTGTGGCAGAGAAGTAGCTGAAGGTGTCGTTCGGATCTGGTATGTCTGCATATCTCCTGATGCAGCTAGATGGTAAAAAAAAGTGAATGAGTTAGTTCGTAAGTGTCTCTGAGTATGAGGACACCTTCTGCAGACAGTTAAGCATACTTACTCTGTACAACCACCTGATTGCTGGGAACAAGTATCTGCTGTCCGTCAGAGGTCTGTGCATACTGAAGAATAGTTGTACCTTGCTGAGTACTGCCTGAATTTGTCATGGTTAATGTCTGAAGTCCCTGTACTCCATCTGTGCCTGGACTCGCCAACTGTAAGGCTCCATTTGGGGCAATGGCAACTTTAATCAAAGAGAAAATAGCCATTGTAAGGTTATACAATACACTAATTCAAAGGAGTGGCAAAAAGCCCACAAACACTGTTTACTAAAACAGATATGAATGCAGTTCTGCTTGGTAACTGCTAACTACTTTAGGTGAATTACATGTAAAAGGAATGAAACAGCATTCCTTTATAAAAATTTTATAGTTCAGATGCACCACCTTAAATTTAATCTCAAGTTACATAACTGAGTAGTTAAAAACAGCACACATATTTGAACTCCATAAAACACTCCATGCTAATTGCTAATGATGTCGTAGCAATTCTGAGGCATTAGAAGAGGGCATTGATAACTAACTTTTTTGGAGGGGACGGAGTCTCACTCTGTCACCCAGGCTGGAGTGCAGTGGCACAATCTCAGTTCACTGCAACCTCTGCCTCCCAGGTTCAAGCCATTCCCTCAGCCTCCAAAGTAGCTGGAATTACAGGCATGTGCCACCATGCCTGGCTGATTTTTGTATTTTTAGTAGCGATGGGGTTTCTCCACATTGGCCAGGCTAGTCTCAAACTCCTGACCTCAGGTAATCCACCTGCCTCAGCCTCCCAAAATGCTGGGGTTACAGGCATGAGCCACAGCACTTGGCCCCATGGTAGCTACTTTTTAAGAAAATATAAAAAGGAAATACAAACATAGTTTGTAATTTTGAGTCAAAAGCATTAAAAAGGTTATTACTTTAAAATATTTTTTAATAGATAATATGCTTAGATAACGTGCTTATGGAAAAAAATTCAATAGAATAAAAGGTTTTATAATGAGAAGTCTTCTTTATACTGTTTCTTAGCTCTATTTTCTAGTGGTACCACAGTTAAATGTATTACATGGCATTAAGATATTTATTTAAGTGATAGTTAAGAAATATAATCTATTCATTCACTTCCTAGTGAAAATCACTAATAAAGATACCAAAACCCACTGTGTAGAAAATAGAACTTAGCTCCCACCAACATTTTTTCACTGATTATACCTGTGTTCATGCTTTCCCCTCAGCCCTTAAATGAAATGCTCATAAGGCATGACCAAATAGAAAACATTTAATCTTCAGAATCTAATGCCTCATCTCTATATCCTCTTTTCAGATTAAAATTATGAAACTTTTTTTTTCTTTTATGCTTTGGCTACCAGGAAGCCAAAATACATGTGTGTGTATTTTGATGGAAAAATAATTTTTTTCATGAGTTCATAATTATCCCTCCCCAATTGCCCCAAATTTAATTTATGAGTTTCAAAATATTTATTTAAAAATGTTAAGATACTGAGATATGCTGGCTTTTTTTTTTTGAGACAGGGTCTCACTTGTCACCCAGGCTGGAGTGCAGTGGTGTGGTCCTGGTTCAACACTGCACTCTACCTCCTGGGCTCAAGCAATCCTCCCACCTCAGCCTCCCAAGTAGCTGGAACTATAGATGTACACAACCATGCTCAGCTAATTTTTAAATTTTTTATAGAGATACTGTCTCCCTATATTGATTGCCCAGACTGGTCTTGAAATCAAGTGATCCTCCCACTTTAGCCTCCCAAAGCGCAGGGATTAGGCGTGACACACCACACCAGGCCGAGATTTGCTCTGAAGTTATATTAGTAATTAGTTTCAATCTTCTCTTCTGCAACACATGATTATATATACACATACACTTTTATTTATACAAGTATAAACATAAATAAAATTAAAGGTCCCATTATCTATCTCTATTTCATTGGCACCCTTTAGCCCCATCCTGAGGTAATTATTTTTGGTGCACAGTCTTCCCATTATTTTCCTGTGCTTACAACAGACTATCAGTATCAGACTTGAATATACTTGGCCATTATGTTGAGTGGCAAAAACCACAATTACTTTTACATCAACCTAATATACCAAAATACTTACCTATAGATGCCAATGTTTTGATATTAAATATGTGTTTATACATATTTTCATTTTCGCAACTTCCTGTTCTTAACGTGTATTTACCTGTTAATGTGCTGTATTTATTCTAAAACTGAGCTGTCCGATAGGGTAGCCAATAGCCCCACGTGGCTATTTAAATTAACTAAAATTAAACAAAATTAAAATATCAGTTTCTCAGTCCCACCAGCCACATTTCAAGCAATCAGTAGTCATACATGGTTTAGTGGCTACTATTCTGGGACAATGCAGATATGAAACATTCTCATTATCCTACAAAGTTCTAAGGGCCCATGCTGCCCTAAATACTAATTTGTACTACACTTATTTCAATGATAACATGTGAATGTCCCCCCTACCTCTGATCTCTGCTTCCAAGTTTCTTTCCTTGCAACCAGTGCTTAGCTTCCTGCCTTCCTTCCTTTCCTTTCTCTCTTTCTTTCTTCCCTCCCTCCCTCCCTTCCTTCCTCTCTCTTTCTTCTTTTCCTGAGACTGGTCTTGCTCTGTTGCCCAGGCTGGAGTGCAGTGGTATAATCACGGCTCACAGTAACTTCGAATTCCTGGACTCAAGAGATCCCACCTCAGCCTCCTGAGTGTATGGGATTAGTCACATGCCACAATGCCCAGCTAATTCTTCATTTATTTTATTTACTGTTTTGTAGAGACACAGTCTTGCTATGTTACCAAGGCTGGTCCTGAACCTGGCTTCAAGTAATTTTCCAGCCTCAGCCTCTCAACGTACTGAGATTATAGGCGTGAGCCAGCATGCCTGGCTCCCAGTTTCTCAAGAATATATATATTCATTCTTTAATTCATTTATTCATAACAAACGTAACTGAAAGCCTACTACTTGCCGGGTCCTATATGTCGAAGATGTAGTTGTGAATGAAACAAATAAGGTTCTTTCCCTTAAGGACCTTATATTCTAGTGGGGAAAACAGATAATAAATAAGCTAATCTATAATTACATACATACAATCTGTAATTAAACTAATATATACTGTCTTTTAATTATATGTAAATTTATAAAGAAAAATGCAGGTTGTTAATGAAAACTAAAGGGAGGAGACACATGTTTGAAAAAGAGTGATCGCTTTGTGGAGGTGACACTTAAGCAGAGCAGGGGCATAGGATGCAAGCCATGTAGGGATCTGGGAGAACATGCCAGGCGTGAGCAGTGACAACTCCAGAGATTCTGAGGCAGAAACAAGCTTCGTGTGTCTGAGGTACAGTATAGGAAGCTGGGTGGTCAGAATGCCATCAAGTGGCAGGAGATGAGGTCAGAGCGGTAGGCAGATCCTAAATGCAATGCCTTGTAAGACTGAGATTTTATTCTAAGTATGATAAGATGTCAATAGAGGATTCTGAGCAGGAGTGATGTGATCTAGTTGACATTTTAAATAAATCACTTTGGCCACAGTATGGAAAACTGATGATTAGAGCAAGAATGGAAGCAAGATGACCAACTGGATGCCTACTCCAGTAATTCAGATCAGAGTCTAAATCAAGGTGGTGGTGGTTAGAGATGGCCAGAGGTGGTCAGATGGGACATACACATTGTGGCAAGACTGAATGAGACGAAGATTAATGTTAGGAGTGGAGGGAGTAATAACAAATGGGCAGCACTAGTAAATTCCTTAGGGTGATAGAACTACATCTCGATTGATGGTGTGAAACTATTCTATACATTTGTCAAAACTCATAGACTTAAACTCCCCAAAGAGTGAATTTTACTGTATATAAATCAAACAATAAAGATTTTTAATGAATGGACAGGGGCCAGGCGTGGTGCTTCACACCTGTAATCCCAGCACTTTGGGAGGCTAAGGCAGGTGAATCACTTTAGGTCAGGAGTTTGAGACTAGCCTGGCCAACATGGTGAAACACTGTCTCTACTAAAAGTACAAAAATTAGCTGGGTGTTGTGGCACACACCTGTAATCCCAGCTACTCTGGAGGCTGAGGCAGGACAATGACTTAAACCTGGGAGGTAAAGGTTGCAGTGAGCCAAGACTGTGCCACTGCATTCCAGTCTTGGTGAGGAGACTCCATCTTAAAAAAAACCCAAGACAATGAACAAAACAGATCTAAATGTATATTATATTAAATACCACTTTCATCCTATTTCTGTATCAGTGAGCTAAAGATACAAAAGCCAAAAAAATTTTTGAAAAAAGATATGTATGTGTGTGTAATTTGTTCAACTTTGTTGTGTAATTGAAATTTTTCATTAAAAAAAGATTGGAAGCAAAACTAGAAATTAAACTTAAAAATAAACAATTTATTACCTCGTTAATTTTGCCAAATGTCATTTTAATAAACCAGTAGACCTCATTCACTAAATTACTGGGGAAACGACCTACGTGTTAACCTAAGTACAAATTACTAATCCATAGACTGCTGTTGATCATCAGTGAGGATATATATATTTGTTTGTGTAGGTATTTCTGTTCTATCACTCTGTCTCCTGACTCTAAGCTTTCCTCTCAAAGGCTAGGACCACATTTGCTTCCTTTATAACTTTACCTAGCCCCCAGGTGGGATGCTGTAAACCAAAAGGTGCTCACTTTGTTCTGTGTACTGACTAATATTCATAGCAACACTTTTAGAGATGCAGATTTAGTGTTCTATTAAAGTTGATCAGTTCCTTATTGTTTATGGTGGGAACTCTGTAAATCACACTGCAAAACAATCTCTATCCTCTTTCTGATCCAAATTTCCTTAACCTCACACTGGAAAGTCAACATTTATATTTAATCTTTCGTACAGTAATTTCTGCTGGAATTAAGGTAATAGACATAACTGGCTGGCATCCAAAAGAAAAATTTGTAAGATGCAGTATAGTTTGAGGTCAAATTATATGTGTAGACTCAGACAAATCTAATTTTGAATCCCAGCTCCATCATATACAAGCTATGTGACTTCAAGAACAGTATCCAGGCCGGGCATGGTGGCGCCTGTAATCCCAGCACTTTGGGAGGCCGCAGCAAGAGGATCACCTGAGGTCAGAAGTTCTAAACCAGCCTGGCCAACATGGTAAAACCCCATCTCTATTAAAAATACAAAAATTAGCCAAGTGCAATGGCAGGAACCTGTAATCACAGCTACTTGGGAGGCTGAAGCAGGAGAATCGCTTCTGAAAGGCGGAGGTTGCAGTGAGCCAAGAGACAGTGCCACTGCACTCCAGCCTGGGTGACAGAGCGAGACTCTGTCTCCAAAATAAAAAGACAAAAAAACAAATCCAGTATCTAATGCTGTGGGTCTCAGTTCCCTCATACATTAATAACTGCCTATGTAACTGCCTATGTCACAAAGTTGTTGTAGGAATAAATGAAATAATGCTGAAAAAGTACTTCTCATTATTCCTGGCTGAAAATGTCCTTTAATCAATCATCACTATTGAAGTATGGCAATTTTTCTAACACCACTTCTTTCTACAGAGAAGTCAGGTTTTGTACGTTTATAATGTGGAAATTGATTCCTGTACATACTGTACTGTCCGCTGCTAGTCTGATAGATGGGAGCTGGAACAGACATAGAAGTGACAGCAGAAACTCCAGGATTTTCTCCGTCTCCTTTTCTGCCCCGTGTATCTTCAGAAGATAAGTCTTTCAAAATTTTTCTGTAAAAAAACAAACACTGGTAATGTGAATGACTTTACAAAAAGACACTTCTCCCAAGTAGCTGGGACCACAAGTGTGAGCCACCACATCCAGCTAATTTTTGTATTTTTAATAGAGAGAGTGTTTCACCATGTTGGCCAGGTCTTGAACTTACGTGGCCTCAAGTAATCTACTCATCTCGTCCTCCCAAAGGAAATGAAATCCCACATGCTGGGATTTCAGGCATGTGCCACCATGCCTGGCCACAAAAATCAATTTCTAAAACCTTTTCAGTCTCAGGTAAAAGCTACAGTAATCTACCAGCCACTTAAACTATTATTCCAAAGAATCCTTTTACTTAGCACATACTATTATGATGTGCTCTAGGCTAGTTACATATTAAAGAGTGAAGAGGGCTGGGCATGGTGGCTCACACCTGTAATCCCAGCACTCTGGGAGGCTAAGGCTGCCAGATCACTTGAGGTCAGGAGTTTGAGACCAGTCTGACCAACATAGTGATACCCCATCTCTACTAAAAAATACAAAATTTAGCTGGGCATGGTGATCCGTATCTGTAATTCTAGCTACTCGGAGGCTAGGGTAGGAGAACTGCTTGAGCCTAGGAGGCGGAGGCTGCAGTAAGTGGAGATCATGTCACTGCACTCTAGCCTGGGCAACGAGTAAGACTGTCTCAAAAGAAACAGAAAACAAACCCCACAAAACCTGTAAAATCAGTTCTCCAAATGAAAGACGTAAGAAATACTACTATAAACTGCATAGAGTATCAGTGATGAACAAAATTGCTTCTTTTAACAAAAAGAGGTAAATATGATGCCATGGGTATCCCTCAGACTTGGTGAAACAAGTTATTATTCCTAATGATGGGAATAAGGAATGGAAAAGTATTCTTTGCTGAAAAGAAAGGTTTTTCAAAACAACTGGGGATGAGCACAGTGGCTCATGCCTATAATCCCAGCACTTTGGGAGGCCGAGGCGGGTGGATCACGAGGTCAAGAGATGGAGACCATCCTGGTCAACATGATGAAACCCCCGTCTCTACTAAAAATACAAAAATTAGCTGGGCATGGTGGCGCATGCCTGTAATCCCAGCTACTCAGGAGGCTGAGGCAGGAGAATTGCCTGAACCCAGGAGGCGGAGGTTGCAGTGAGCCGAGATTGCGCCATTGCACTCCAGCCTGGGTAACGAGCGAAACTCCATCTCAAAAAAATAAAATTAAATAAAATTAAAAAATAAATAAAAGGGTACTGGATTTTTGTCAAATGTTTTCTCTGTGTCTTGAGATGATATGTTTTTTGTTCTGATTCTATTCATATGATATGTTAAACCAATTTTGCATTTCAGAGATAAATCCTACTTGGTCATGGCATATAACACCTTTTATATGTTGTTGGATTTAGTTTAATATTTTGTTGAGGATATTTTTTTGTCTATACTCAGGAAGGATACTGATCTATAGTTTCACAATTGCCTTTTCATTGGTGAGTTTAGGCCATCTGTAATCTTGGCTGATCTTCCAGTTTATTATTTGCTATTTATTCTATTTTTTTAATTTTCTGTGTTCCTATACCTGCATTCTTCTAGATTATTTGAAGACTTTTCAAAATTTCATTTTAATTTATCTACTGTATATCTGACTAAATTCTTTTGCAAAGTTTTAGTAGTTGCTCTAGGTCTATATAGATACATAGCTTTTTATAGTCTGCATAGAATTAGTACTTTACCACCACTTCAGGTGGAATGTAGAAATCTTACCACCATATTAGATATGTTTCTTTCCCTCTTTATGTTGTAAATGTCTTATCTGTTACCTCTGCATATGTTGAAAACCTCATCAGAATGTTGTAATTTCTGTATTCAGCCATCAAATATATTTTTGTTTTATTTATTTGGACAGTCTCGCTTATTGATTTCTTGAGACAGAGTCTCGCTCTGTTGCGCAGGCTGGAGTGCAATGGCATAATCTTGGCTCACTGCAACCTCCGCCTCCTGGGTTCAAGCAGTTCTCTTGCCTCAGCCTCCCAAGTAGCTGGGATTACAGGCGCATGCCACCATGCCCAGCTAATTTTTTAATAGAGACAGGCTTTCACCATGTTGGCCAGGCTGGTCTCGAACTCCTGACCTCAGGTGAACCAGGTGCCTTGGCCTCCCAAAGTGTTGGGATTATAGACATGAGCCACCGTGCCCAGCCATCAAATGTATTTTAAAGTAGTGGTTCCTAACCATTTTGGCACCAGGGACCAGTTTCATGGAAGACAATTTTTCCATGGATAGGGAATCCGGGGAATGGTTTTAGGACGAAACTGTTCCACCTCAGATCATCAGACATTAGATTCTCATGAGGAACACCCAAACTAGACCCCTTGCATGTGCAGTTCACAACAAGGTTCGCATTCCTATGAGAATTCCTATGATGCTACTGATTTGACAGGAGCCAGAGCTTGTGTGGCAATGCTTGCTCACCTGATACTCACCTCCTGCTGCGCAGCCTGGTTCCTAACAAGGTACCAGACCATGGCCTGGGGCTTGGGGACCCCTGTTTGTTTTAAAGAATTCAATAGGAGAAGAACCATCTATTATATTTGCAGATGTTTCTGTTGCTGTTTCTTCATTCCTTAAGTTTCTTTCTGTCTTAAGAATTTTCTTGGTTGTTTTATAGGAGGTCTGCTGGCAATGATTTCCCTTAGTTTTCCTTCATGAGAATATTTATTTGACCTCCAATTCTGAAAGATGTTTTCAGTAGATACAGAATTTTGATCATTCTTTTCTTTTTTTTCATTTTGGGTGCCACACCCTGGGAGATAATTCTTTTTTCTTTTAATACTTTACAAATGCTATTCCATTCTCTTCTAACCTGCAGAGTTTCTGATGAGCACTCTGTAGTCACTGACACTGTTGTCTTGTGAGTTTTCTTTGTCTTTAGTTTTCAGCAGTTTGTTTATGGTAAGTCTGGGCAATTATTTATTTGCGTTTATCCTGTTTTGGGTTTGCTGAGGTTTTTGAATCTCTAGGTTTACATATTTCACCAAATTTGGTAATTTTTCAGCTATTATTTCTTCAAGTATTTTTTCTTCACTATACTTTTTTCCTCTCTTTCTGTGACTTCAATGACATAAATGTTAGATCTTTAGATATTGTCTCACAATCTCTTTTCTGTGTTCAGACTGGATAATATCCATTGAATAAACTTCAAAGTTGACCAACTGTTTTTTCTCTCATTTCCATTCTACTGTTGAACCCATCCAGTGAGGTTTTAGCTCTGTTAACTATATTCTTCAGCTCTGTAATCTCTATTTCATTCTCTTTATGTCATCTATTTTTGGCTGACAGTTTATACCTTTCATTTCAGTAAAATTCACTCTTACTTGTTGGAACAGTTTAATAATGGCTTCTTTAAAGTCCCTGTCACATAATTCCAACATCTGTATCATCTAGGAGTTGGCTTCTGTTGACACTCTTTTCCCATGCAAGTTAAGATTTTTCCTTGTTCTTTGGTACCAAGTAATTTTGGACCCTTTCAATATTATGCTATCAGACTCTGGGTCTCGTTTAAATACTACAAAAAATGTTTTATATTCTTGTTGCATGTGCATGTGTATATTTGAGACAGGGACTCACTCGTTGGAATGCATGGCATGATCATGGCTCACTGAAGCCTCAACTTCCTGGGCTCAAGTGATCCTCCCCGCTCAGCCTCCTGAGTAGCTGGGGCTATAGATGCACACTACCATGCCTAGCTAACTTTTGTATTTTTTTTTGTAGAGATGGGATCTCCTTATGTTATACAGATTGGCTTCAAATTCCTGGGCTCAAGCAGTCCTCCCACCTCGGCCTCCTGAAGTGCTAGGACTAGAGGCATGAACCATACCACACACCTAGCCCACATTCTTGTTTTAGAAGTTATAGATCTGGTTGTGTCCAGGCCACGAGTTCTGACCACCCTTCTATAGGTTGTGGTTCCAATGTCAGTTCAGTTTCCAAAGTCTTTGCAATGCTATTCGTAGCAATTAAGACATGTGCACCAGGTAGTGGCCAGTCTAGAATTTGGGCAGTGGTGATCTATCTTATACATAGTTAAGTTCTAAAAGTCTACATATGCTAGGGAAGCCCATTTTTATTCATTTTGGTAAAAATGTATTAGTAGGTGCTGGATTTAATCAAATATTTTTTTCCCTAGCATTTATTGAGTTGATGGTATTGTTTCTGCCAATTCTCACTTATAGTGGTTTATGTCCTTGCACGTTTGATGATTTTTGAGTGAATTCATATTTGATTTATACTAATCTTTAAGAAGTTTCTTTTCAGATGTTCTAGCCTCTATGAGAGACCCCCACTTAATAAAGAAATCTCAGGTTCAGAGTTCCTTCCTGTAGCTGACTTTTGAAAATAATGAGTGGACCGTGTTATCAAGCTTGCTTCTGTTCCCCATTTTGGTTTTAATGCATGTATTTGCATGTATATGGTTTTTGTATCTATTGAGGGAATGAGATAAGAGATTATCATTATTTTCTGTAAATGCACAACGCATTAATAAATATTCTATCCAGGAGCTCACTGTTCTGTACTGGAAGAGTCCACTAAGAATTAAACTTCTTTTTTTTTTTTTTTGTATTTTTTTTGGTGACTACCTCTAAAAGTCTAAGGTTAAGTCTAAAAGTAAGCAACATAAGACTCCAACAGACAATTCCTGTCTGGTATATTTCCTTCCACTGTTGAAAACCACCCAAATTGGCCAGGTGTGTTGCCTAGAATCCCAGCAGTTTGAGAGGCTTAGGTTGGAGGATTGCTTGAATCCAGGAGTTTGACACCAGCCTATGCAATAAAGTGAGATCCGGTCTCTACAAAAATTAAATATTAGCCAGGCACAGTGGTGTACATCTGTATTCCCAGCTACTTGGGAGTTTGAGGCAGGAGGACCACTTGAGCCCAGGAGGCTGAAGCTGCAATGAGCCATGACTGCATCACTGCACTCTAACCTGGGTGATGGAGTGAGACCCTGTCTCAAAAAAACTCCACAAAACTGCCCAAATTAATTGTTATTACTATTGTTCTAAAAAGCCAATGCTAACTGAAATGAATTGCCTTTTTCACCATTGTTTCTTACATTCATATTCCTTCTATTTTCTTCTTCCTCAAGTATACACTTAAGTAGTTTCTTCTATTTTTCAAGATGGAGTCCCTTCTATCACCCAGGCTGGAGTGCAGCAGCACTCGGCTCACTGCAGCCTCTGCCCCCCAGGTTCAAGTGATTCTCGTGCCTCAGCCTCCCAGGTAACTGGGACAACAGGAATGTGCCACCATGCCCAGCTAATTTTTGTATTTTTAGTAGAGATGGGGTTTCACCACGTTGGCCAGACTGGTTTCAAACTCCTGACCTCAAGTGATCCACTGGCCTCAGCCTCCCAAAGTGCTGGGATTACAGGTATAAGTCACTGTGCTGAGTCCTCTTGTTTCTTAAATCAGTTTGAAAATGATTATTATTTCACCATCATTTTTGAAAGACTGTTCAGGTGGGGCACAGAATTTCAGGTCAAAAGTTACTTTTTCTTTCTTTCTTTTTTTTGAGACAGAGTCTCGCTCTTGTTACCCAGGCTGGAGTGCAATGGCACGATCTCGGCTCATCGCAACCTCCGCCTCCTGGGTTCAGGCAATTCTCCTGCCTCAGCCTCCTGAGTAGCTGGGATTACAGGCATGCGCCACCACACCCAGCTAATTTTTTTTGTATTTTTAGTAGAAACAGGGTTTCACCATGTTGACCAGGATGGTCTCCATCTCTTGACCTCGTGATCCACCCGCCTCGGCCTCCCAAAGTGCTGGGATTACAGACATGAGCCACCACGCCTGGCCTCTCTTTCAATTAAATATTGGAGTACAATTAAATATGAGTACAATGTCTCATGCCTATAATCCTAACACTTTGGGATGCTGAGATGGGTGGATCACTTGAGCCCAAGAGTTTGAGACCAGACTGGTCAACATAGTGAGATTCCATCTCTACCAAAACTTTAAAAAACATTAGGTGGGCATCGTGGCATATCCCTATAGTTCCAGGTACTCAGGAAGTTGAGGAGCTAAACCGAGGAGGTTGAGGCTGCAGCGAGCTGTGATCACACCAATGCCTCCAGCCTGGGCAAGAGGATAAGACTCCGTCTCCAAAAATTTATGTAATAATTTAAAAACAAAAATAAAGATTTTAGTTCATTGTCTTATGCTGCACTTCAAAAATCTGTTTTCAGCCTATTGGTCTTTCCTTTTTAGGTAATTAGTCTTTTCTCTTGGAAGCTTTTAGCTTTCATTATCCCTGGTATTCTCCAGTTTTACCTCACAACATACATCTAGATGTAGGTTTCTATTAATTTATCTTGTTTGGGACTTTGCTTTCTTATGCTGAGAAATTCACATCCTGGAAATTACAGTCATTGTTATTTTCTCTGCTGGGGAGATCAGAAGCTGGAAGTGCCCTTCCTTCCTTTTATGTATGTAGGTTGTGTATTGGACTTTCTCATTCTGTCTTCTGTCTCTCTTCTATTTGTCTTGCTGTGTTCCATTCTAGGTAATCTACTCAGAGCTGTATCCTCCAGTTCTCTAACTTTATCTTCAATTATGGATATTAACCTCTTATCAGGTAAGTGGTTTGCAAATAATTGCCTTTTCATTTTGTTGCTTATTTCCTTTGCTAAACAGAAGCATTTTTTTTTTTTTGGTTTTGGTTTTTTAACAGAAATGTTTTTTTGGTTAGATGTAGTCCCATTTACTTATTTTAGCTTTTGCAGCCTAAGCTTTTGGTGTGACATCCAAAAAATCACTGCCAAGGTCAGTGTCGAAGAGCTCATCCCTCTGTTCTCTTCTAGGACTTTTACGGTTTCAGGTCTTAACATTTTGGTCTTTTATCCACTTGGCATTGATTTGTGTAATGGTGTAAGATAAAGGTTCAATTTACTTTTCCTTCTTTTTTTTTTTTGTGAGACGGAGTCTTCCTCTTGCCCAGGCTGGAGTATGGTGGCGTGACCTACGCCTCCTGGGTTCAAACTATTCTCCTGCCTCAGCCTCCCAAGTGGCTGGGATTACAGGTGCACACTATCTATACCCAGTTAATTTTTGTCTTTTTAATACAGACAGGGGTTCACCATGTTGGCCAGGCTGGTCTCAAACTCCTGACCTCAGGTGATCTACCTGCCTTGGCCTCCCAAAATGTTAAGATTATAGGCGTGAGCTACTGCTCCCGGCCAAAGGTCCAATTTCATTCTTTTTCTCGGAGATAGGATATTGCTCAGTCACCTAGGCTGGAGCACAGTGACATGAACATAGCTTATTGTAACTTTAAGCTCCCGGGCTCAAGCCATCTTCCCACCTTAGCCTCTAAGTAGATGGGACTAAAGGTGTGTGCCACTCTGCCCAGCTAATTTCTGTATTTTTTGAAGAGACAAGGATCTTACCATGTTGCCCAGGCTGGTCTTGAACTCCTGGGCTCAAGCAAGCCTACCTCGGCCTCCCAAAGACCTGGGATTATAGGCGAGGGCCACCCAATTTCATTCTTAACACTTATATGTGCTGCCTTCTTCAGTGTGCTTTGCACAGCACCACTTGAACTCATTTGGTACTATTAAAACATGCAGGATTGGATACAAGAGAGTACTCGCCTGTAAGAAGGACGCCGTGCTAAGATCCCGTGGGCTTTCTGTGAGGAGCCTATGCTGTCAGATGAGTCCTGGGACTCTTCGCTTTCTGATAAAGATGATACCTAAAAAAGAATTTGCATTAACATAATGAACAATGCAGCTGGGAAAAGAAAGACTGTTACATAGGTATACACATGCCATGGTGGTTTGCTGCATCCACCCTCTGTCACCTATATTAGGTATTTCTCCTAATGCTATCCCTCCCCTAGTCCCCCCACCGCCCAACAGGCTTCAGTGTGTGATGCTCCCCTCCCTGTGTCCATGAGAACACCCCAATGTTTAAAAAACTTTCCATCTTTTTGTTAATCCTTTTTAGGATTAATTCAGTGGAGCTGAGCTCAGTTTATGTTGGAGTTTCTCTCCTACACTGCAGTAATCTGATAAAATCTGTCTTGGTGCCTTTAACAAATGGCCAGCTCTGTTCCTCTTTGACAGTACCCCAATATGGGCATAGAGAAATTGAAGAATAAGAATAAAAAGAGAGCTGGGTGCAGGGGTTCATGCCTATAATCCCAGCACTTTAGGATGATAAGGCAGGCAGATCCCTTGTGCCCAGGAGTTCAAGACCAACCTGGGCAACACGGTAAAATGCTGTCTCTACAAAAAATACAAAAATTAACCAGGTTTGGCAGTGCACCCCTATAGTCACAGCTATGTGGGAGGCTAAGGCGGGAGGATTACTTGAGCCCAGGAGGTGGAGGTTATGGTGAGCTGTGACCGTGCCACTGCACTCCAACTCCAGCCTGGGTGACAGAGTGAGAGCCTGTCTCAAAACAAAAAACAAAACAAACAAACCCACAAGTCTTAAGAGTCCAATTTCTCAATACACATGGAGAAAATTAACAAAGATCCCCCTATCTTTCAGCAATGGAGAGCGGATGACAGGATTAATTTACATTTCTAAAAGGCTAAGAGCCATCATTACTCAAAGGTTTCTGGCAATCCATGTGATTTAATACAGACTGTGGGTCAGGCAGGTTGAAAAGGAAAAGAGGCACCAGATTTTGATGTAGCTAGTAGTAGTCCCTACCCCTTATTACTACGGTTCATCTAACTCCACAAAATGCTCATTACGCAGGGTCTCAAAGCCTTGATTCTCTTCCCAACCCCACTCTCAAACCTGATAATCTAAATATTGAGAGACCTTTCAAAGGAGGCAAGAAAGAAGCTGGTCCTCCCCGGCCTTTCTTTTTTGGTGGGGAGAAGCAGGGTCTCACTCTGTGAACCAGGCTGAAGTGCAGTGGTACAATCTCAGCTCACTGCAACCTCTGCCTCCTGGGTTCAAGCAATTCTCCTGCCTCAGCCTCCGGAGTAGCTGGGAATACAGGCGCCTACCACCAAGTCCGGCTAATTTTTGTATTTTTAGTAGAGACAGGTTTTCACCATGTTGGCCAGACTGGTCTCAAACTCCAAGCCACATGTGATCCACCCACCTCAGCCTCCCCAAAGTGCTGGGATTACAGGCGTGAGCCACCATGTCCGGCCAGAATTTCATACTTCTTAATACTTCTCTGTCCACTGCTTCACTTATATTCTAAAGATTCTAGATTCTAAATTACCAGTCCAAAATTGAAAATAGAGCAAGAACAAATAAATAGTAAACAGGGCCGGGCGTGGTGGCTCACACCTATAATCCCAGCACTTTGGGAGGCCGAGGCGGGTGGATCACTAGGTCAAGAGATTGAGACCATCCTGGTCAACAAGGTGAAACCCCGTCTCTACTAAAAATACAAAAATTAGGTGGGCACGGTGGTGCGCACCTGTAGTCTCAGCTACTCGGGAGGCTGAGGCAGGAGAATTGCTTGAGGTGGAGGTTGCGGTGAGCCGAGATCGTGCCATTGCACTCCAGTCTTGGTAACAATAGCGAAACTCTGTCTCAAAAAAAAAATAGTAAACAGGCCAGGTGTAGTGGCTCACAACTGTAATCCCAGCACTCTGGGAGTCTGAGGTGGGCAGATCACCTGAGGTCAGAAGTTCAAGAACAGCCTGACCAGCATGGCAAAATGCTGTCTTTACTAAAAATACAAAAATTAGCTGGGTGTGGTGGTGGGCACCTGTAATCCCATCTACTCAAGAGGCTGAGGTAGAAGAATCACTTGAACCCGAGGCAGAGGTTACAGTGAGGCGGGATCACTCCACTGTACTCCAGCCTGGAAAACAGATCGAGACTCCATTTCCAAAAAAAGAAAAAAAAAAGAGTAAGCAGAGTCGCCTATTAGGACAAACTTGAATGCCCTTCAAAGCAAGGACATAAAAGGTCTTGGATTTTCTCTAGGTAAAGAGAGGAGCCCCCTAATAAAATGGGACTTCTTCTACAGGGCCACAACTCAGTAACAAAGGGAAAGTTGCCTTGAGGTTGGGGAGGGAGAGTCAGGGCTGAAGAAGTTCTTAAAAGCTCTCCAGCAGATTTAGAGCCCAAAATAACATCACCTAGATGGTCCAAAAGAACTTCAAACCCTGAAAGTGGTCGCCCAGGCACTATTTACTGGCAGTAGTGACTTCTTCTGGAAGAAGGTATTGTCATCCTGGGCCACAGGGAATTCCCACAAATATGCCAGGCATCATGGCTCATGTCTGTAATCTCAACATTTTGGGAGGCTGAGGCAGGCTGATCACTTGAGGCCAGGAGTTGAAGACCAGCCTGGCCAACACGGCGAAACCCTGTCCCTCAAATGTATGTAGTAGCATGTACCTGTAGTCCCAGGTACTTGGGAGGCTGAGGCACGAGAATCACTTGAACCTGAGAGGCAGAGGTTGCAATGGGCTGAGATTGCACCATTGCACTCCAGCCTGGGCGAAAGCAAGACTGTCTCAAAAAAAATCAAAAACAATGCAAAACAAAAAAACCCAAGTATCTTTTTCAAGATTAGTCAGCAGTAAATTTTGCTTTAGTCACATAAGGTACCATGAACAAGAAGCAAAAGCAACAGACAGAAGAATCAGACCCAAATAATTTTAGATACTGACATTACCAGACAGATTATAAACCAATTATGATTACTATGATGTTTTCTGTTTTTTGTTTGTTGATCTGCCCACCCTGGCCTCCCAAAGTGGGGCATGAGCCACCATGCCCGGCCTGAATTCTGTGTTTAAAGGAACAGAGTAGATTACATTTCAAGACAAGCTTGAAAATCTCTTCAGGAAAGAGAAAACTGTGGATTTGAAAAAGAACCAACTAGATTTCCAAGAAATAAAGACATAATACCTAAAATTTTTAAAATTATTTTTCAGACATACCAGAAGATGAGACGAAGCTAGAGGAAGAATTAATGAACTGAAACACAGGCAAGAAATTATTGGAACTGCAGCACAGAAAGACAAACAGATGGAGAACAGATGAGAGAGATTAAAAAATGTGGGGGACAGACTGAGAGGGACAAAGAAGATGTTGGAGGCAAAATGTGAAGACATAAGACTGAAAATATAGATGTAATGATATACACCAATCTATCAATTCAATAAGTTACTAGACTCCCATGTGGAAGCTGCAAAACCAAAAAAAAGCCCTAGAATTCCATACCTCGTGAAAATACCCTTTAAGAATGAAGTCGGGGGTGGGTGAGGTGGCTTACACCTATAATCCCAGCACTTTAGGCGGCTGAGGTTGAGCACTTTAGGATCCTGCCTTCAAATGATCCTACCGGGTGAGCAACATAACAAAACCCCATCTATATTTTAAAAAATATAAAAATTAGCCAAGTGTGGTGGTACACACCTGTAGTCCTAGCTACTCAGGAGGCTGAGATGGGAAGTTCAATTGAGTCCAGGAGGTAGAGGCTAACAAGCTATGATCGCACCACTGCACTTCAGCCTTGGTGACAGGGAGACACCCATCTCTAAAAACATTTTTAAAAATAAGGAAAGAAGAATAAAATGGGAGGAATCAACCCTCTTGATTTTAAGTTTTATTATACATAGCTACAGTATTCAAGACAGTGTGATACTGATAGAGGGACAGAAACCTAGATCAATGGAACACATCAGACAACTGTAGAAATAGACAAACAGGCCATGAATGGCAGCTCACACCTGTAATCCCAGCACTTTGGGAGGCTAACAGGGGAGGAATGTTTGAGCCCGGGAGTTCAAGACTATCCTGGCTAACACAGTGAAACCCTGTCTCTACTAAAATTACAAAAATTAGCTGGGCATGATGGCACATACCTGTAATCCCAGCTACTCAGGAGGCTGAGGCAGAAGAACTGCTTGAACCAGGGAGTTGGAGGTTGCAGTGAGCCCAGATCATGCCACTGCACTCCAGCCTGGTGACAGAGCAAGTCTACGTCTCAAAAAAAATTAAAAAACAAAAAACAAAAACAACTTCCGGGGCCGGATGCGGTGGCTCATGCCTGTAATCCCAGCACTTTGGGAGTCCAAGGCGGGTGGATCACGAGATCAAGAGATCAAGACCATCCTAGTCAACATGGTGAAACCCCATCTCTACTAAAAATACAAAAAATTAGCTGGGCACAGTGGCGCATGCCTGTAATCCCAGCTACTCAGGAGGCTGAGGCAGGAGAATTGCCTGAACCCAGGAGGCAGAGGTTGTGGTGAGCCGAGATCGCGCCATTGCACTCCAGCCTGGGTAACAAGAGCGAAACTCAGTCTCAAAAAAAAACTTCCTTTATTAAAAAGCAAAACCCAGACAATCAAGAATTCCAAGACATGACAGTGAGATCCTATCTTTAAAAAAATAGCTGGGCGCAGTGGCTCAGGCCTGTAATCCTAGCACTTTGGGAGACCAAGGTGGGTGGATCACCTGAGGTCAGGAGTTCAAGACCATCCTGGCCATCATGGTGAAATCCCATTTTTAAAAAATAAGAGAAAGACTGGCTATGAAATAAATATATTTACTCATCTTATTTGACCTATCAGCCACATTTTACAGAGCTGACCCTCAGTAGTCCCATGTAGTCACAACTTTAATCATGCTATACCTATGTTAAAGAGATACTGTTCCACAGTTCTTGGATGCTCTATTTTTCTTCCCACCCTTTCCTTTTTTCTTTGTTTTCATTGTGGGTAATGTCTACTGACCTATCTTCAAGTTCACTGATTCTTTTCTTAGCTGTGTCAAGTCTACTAATAAACACAAACACATACTTCACCTGTCACCTTTTTTTTTTTTTTTTTTTTGAGACAAGGCCTCACTCTGACACCCAGGCTGGAGTGCAGTGGTGTAATGCTGGCTCACTGCAACCTCTGCCCACTGGGCTCAAGCAATCCTACCACCTCAGCCTTGCAAGTAACTGGGGCTGCAGGGTGTATACTACCATGCCTGGCTATTTTTTGTGTGTGTTTATTTTTAGTAGAAATGAGGGCCTGTCATGTTGCCCAGGTTGGTCTTGAACTCCTAAGCTCAAGCCATCTGCCTGCCTTGGCCTCCCAAAGTTCTCAGATTATAGGTGTGAGCCACCACACCTGGCCACCATTTTTATTTCTAACATTTCCACTTGACTATTCATATAGTTTCCTCTGCTGAAATTCTCCAGCTAGCCACACATGTTTTCTACTTTTCCTGCTGGAGCCTTGAACATACTATTCATTGTTATTTGAAATTCACTCTCTGTATAACTCGCTCAAGACAGTAATTAAAAAAAAAAAATTCACTCTCTGATCGTTCCAACAGCTGGGTAATTCTGAGTCTGGTTCTGTTTATTGTTTTGGTTTTTGACAGCGAGGCTTTTTTTGTGTGTGTGTTTTTGAATGTGTTTTGTAATTTTTCCCTGAATTACAGACATCATGGGTAAGAGAGTAGACTAAAGTAAATAGTATTTATGCTCAGAAATGGGAAACCAAGAGGGTACACCTCTTCATTAGGGTGTGTGTGCATGTGTGTTGGGAAGGGGTTGAGTCATTCGGGAATTGAGCTGGGTTTGGATTTTGTTGTTTGGACTACCCGAAGTGTACCACCAACTTCAAATTCCTCTAGCGTGACTTTCTGCTTAAGCTGGGGCTGCTCTGTCAGAGGGTTTTTCTCAGTGTTCTTGCTGCACACCCGGCCTTAGGCTTTATCTGTGCATCTGCCCCAAAGAGGCTCTCTCTTGCCCCTACCCCAGGGGTAGACTGGTGTTGCCTGACCTGACAGCAGCAACGAGGAGGTTCTCTGTTGTCCTGGCCCAGTCTTAGGTAGGTCCTAGGTCCTTCAGTTACAGGGGTTGGGGCTTTCTCCCAGAGGCAAAAAAACTCTAATACTAATAATCTAAGCCCTTAATATCCTGCTATTCCCTTAGGATTTCTAGGTTTTCTTTTTCTTTTTACCTTTCCCAGATACAATGGAAAACAGGGCTTTTTCCTTTCTCATTTGCTTAAAGGTCCAAATAGGCCTGTACCACCTACCAAAGCTTTCTCTGGTCTCCCTTGCTTCCCCACCCCCATATTTCTCCTAAGCAACTGTTAGCAGTCCTTGCAGAAGAACCTACAGGAGGTATGAACTGTCTTTGTGTCTGCAGCTCCCAAGAATTCTATTCGCTCATTCTTGCCTACACTTGGACTTTAGCAATTCATTAATTTTCCTGCTAGTATGACAGCCCTGCTTTCTTTCTGTGCTCTGCCACAGGTGAGCCATGCGCACACCCCACTTCTGTGAGTTTAAGTTACTATTTTGTAGAATATACAACTTATTCTTGTTTTAGCATAAAAGTAACATTCTTTCCAGCTTTCTACATCCTACCGGGAGTTTGGAAATCATTCCACAATTATAAATACCATCCATATAGCCACAACTCCTAAATTTAGATTTCTAGTCTGGACCTCTCTCCCAGACCCTAGACTCATGTATATCTATCTGTTTACTGGACAAATCTAATTGGATGGTCTGCCCAACAGATTTTAGGGTGGCCCCCATGATCTGCAGCTCCTGGTGTTTGGGACTTTAACTCTCTCCCCTTGAGAGTGGGAGGGACTTGTGACTTGCTTCTAACCAACCTTATTAGGCAAAGATGATGGGATGTCATGTTTTATCACAAGGAAATGGGATATCATTCCTTTGATTATATTATATACAAGACTCTGTCTTGCTAGCAGACTTGCTCTCATTCTCCTGCTAGACTTGAAGCAGGCTGCCACACTTTGAACTGCATATGGAGAGGATCACATGACAGGGAGTTACCAGTGGCTTTTAGAAGCTATGCGCAGCCTCCACCCACCAACCAACCAAAAAACTGAAGCACTGAGTCCTATAGCCACAACAAAATGAATCCTGTCAACAAACTCAGTGAGCTTGGAAGTAGATTCTTGTCTAGTCTAGCCCGCTGGTAAGAATTCAGTCCGAGCCAATACCTCAACTACAGCTTGGTGTGAGACCCCAAAGCAAAGAACCCAGGGAAGATATGCCTGACTCCACAAAACTGTGACATAAGAAATATGTGTTGTTTTAAGCTATTAGCCTTTTGGTGATTTGCTCTGCAACACAGAAAACCAACAGATAGTATTACAAACACAACATGCCTAAAAACCAAATTCCTGATTGCCAACATTCCCCCAAAAAGAAAAGGAAAACATCCTCCAGTGTTGTACATCTCAATAAATGGCAATTCTACATCTACATATATTTTTAATTTTAGTTGTTTGTTTTGTTTTGTTTTGTTTTTGAGAAAGGGTGGGTCTACATTATGGTGCCCAGGCTAGTCTGGAACTCCTGGGCTCAAGCAATCCTCCCACCTGAGCCTCCCAAGGAGATGGGATTACAGGTATGCACTACCACGCCTAGCTCAAGCAATTACATTCTTACAGTTGCTCAGACCAAAACTGAAGTCAAAAACCAGAAAAGGGTTTCTTCACTGGGTTTTGACTTCACAGTTTTGGTCTGAGCAACTTCCTTTCTTTAAAACTCCACATCCAATCCAAAAGCAAATACTATTGGCTTTACAACCAATATATATCCAGAATCTAACTTTGTCTCACCACTACCACAGCTACCACATTGGTCCAAGCCATTGTTATCATCCATGTACATGCCTGTAATGCCTCCTGACTGGTTTTCCTGTTTCTATTCCACAGAGCAGTGATTTTGAGTGATTCTTTTAAGATATGCCAGAAGTTTCTAAGTTTCTACTTAACACACTCTAAAGGTTCCCCATGCAACCCAGATTAAAACATAAAAATCTCACAGTGGCATATGGCCTTCATTATCTGGCACCCTCCCCTCTTCCCACCTCAACCCTCTCTGCCTCATCCTCTATCAGTACCTCTCCCAACACACTGGCCACCTCAGTGTTCCTTGACTGTATCAAGCACATATTAGTCTCACAGTTTTACAAGAGTTGATCCATATAATTGAAGCAGTATTTCCTCAGACAGATGTCTCTGTCTTGTATAAAAAAGGGCAAGTCCCCGTCCCCACCACCAACTCCCTATCTCTCCTACCCTGCTTTATTTGTCTCCATGGCACATATTACCAACTGATATGTTTTGGTGCCTGTCTCTCCAAAATTACAATGTAAGTTCCAGGAGAGCTGAGACTTTATCCCCAGTTTTCACTGAATTATTGTAAAATACTATTTCCTTTACATAATATTTTTCTTTTTGAGACAGGATAATGCTCTGTTACCCAGCCTGGGTTGCAGTGGTTCAATCATGGCTCACTGAAGCCTGGACCTCTGGGGCTCAACTGATCTTCCCACTTCTACCTCCTGAGTAGTTGGGACTACAGACACATACCACCATACCTGGCTAACTTTCTAATTTATTTTTATTTTTTATTTTTTTTTAGACGGAGTCTCCCTCTGTCGCCAGGCTGAAGTGCAGTGGCGCGATCTCGGCTCACTGCAACCTCCGCCTCCCGGGTTCAAACAATTCTCCTGCCTCAGCCTCCTGAGTACCTGGGACTACAGGTACACACCACCACACCCAGCTAATTTTCGTATTTTTAGTAGAGACAGGGTTTCACCATGTTGGCCAGGATGGTCTTGATCTCTTGACCTCATGATCCACCTGCCCTGGCCTCCCAAAGTGCTGGGATTACAGGTGTGAGCCACCGCACCCGGCCAACTTTTTTATCTTATTTATTTATTCATTTTTGAGATGGAGTCTCACTCTGTCACCAGGCTGGACTGCAGTGGCGCAATCTTGGCTCACTGCAACCTCCGCCTCCCGAGTTCAAGCAATTCGCTTGCCTCAGCCTCCTGAGTAGCTGGGACTACAAGCAAGTGCTGCCAAGCCCAGCTAAGTTTTATATTTTTAGTAAAGACAGGGATTCACCATGTTGGCCAGGATGGTCTCGATCTCTTGACCTCATGATCCACCCACCTCCAGCCTCCCAAAGTGCTGGGATTACAGGCGTGAGCCACTGTGCCTGGTCAACTTTTTGTATTTTTTAGGAGACAGTCTCTCTCACTATGTTGCCCAGGCTGGTCTCAAACTCCTGGGCTCAAGCAATCCTCAGCATCCCAAAGTGCTGGGATTATAGATATGAGCCACCATGCCCAGCCATATTATTCTTAAAAAAATCACTATAAAACGATTTACTACCTAGAAATGTACTTACTCTACCTCACCATAAATATGGTTCTGAGGAAATTTTGAGAACAGTCACATCTAACCAAAACAACTGAAATATATCTGTAAGTAAGCCAAATGAATTAGAACATTTCTGTAAAGAGCTCTATTAACAGAAAAATAGAGACTCCACCTTATTTTTCCAACACCATCTGGAGAAGACACTGTTATACTTCACATGATATAGCCAAATAATGGAGAAGGATACATCAAACTTGAAAGATTAACCCTTTCGGCCACTGGTTTTCAAACCTTTTGGTCACAAATCCTTTTTACATTCTTAAAACTTATTGAGGACCCCCCAAAATTAGTTGAGTATATATATATATATATTTTTTTTAAAGAGATGGGATCAGAAAATAAATGCAGGAAAAAAAGGAAAAAAAAAAAGAGACGGTCTCACTATTTTGCTCAGGCTAGAGTGCAGCGGCTATTAACAGGTGCTATCCCACTACTGATCAGCACGAGAGTTCTGACCTGCTCCGTTTCCGATCTGGGCCAGTTCACCCCTCCTTAGGCAACCTGGTGGTCCCCCGCTCCCAGGAGGTCACCGTACTGATGCCAAACTGAGTGCGGACACCCGATCAGCATAGCACTATAGTCTAGAACTCTTGGACTCAAGTGATCCTCCAGCCTCAGCCTCTGGAGCAGCTAGGACTACAGGCATGCACCACCGTGCCTGGCAATATTTATAATATTTTGAAAAATGTTAACAGTTCATTTTGGGAGGCCAAGGCAGGCGGATCACGAAGTCAAGAGAGTGAGACCACCCTGGCCAACAGGGTGAAACCCCGTCTCTACTAAAAACTACAAATATTAGCTGAGTGTGGTGGTGCGTGCCTGTAGTTCCAGCTACTCGGGAGGCTGAGGCAGGAGAATTGCTTGAACCCAGGAGGTGGAGGTTGCAGTGAGCTGAGATCGCCCCACTGCACTCCAGCCTGGTGCCTGGCAACAGAGCAAGACTCTGTTGCAAAAAAAAAAAATTTAACAGTTCATTTCAAAATACAGTTACAAACCCATTATGTTACCATTCTTATTTCTATTAATATATTTTCAAAAGAAAATTAGTGAGAGAAATGGCATTGTTTTACATTTCTGCAAATTTCCTTAATGTCTGGCTTAATAGAAAACAGCTGAAATCAGCCAGGCACAGTGGCTCACGCCTGTAATCCCAGCACTTTGGGAGGCTGAGGCGGGTGGATCACTTGAGGTCAGGAGTTCAAGACCAGCCTGGCCAACATAGTGAAGCCTTGTCTCTACTAAAAATACAAAAATTAGCCGTGGCAGGCGCCTGTAATCCCAGCTACTTGGGAGGGTGAGGCAGGAGAATCACTTGAACCCAGGAGGGAGAGGCGACAGTGAGTGGAGATTTCGCCACTGCACTCTAGCCTGGGTAACAGGGCAAGACTCCATCTCGAAAATAAAAAAAGAAAAAGAAAACAGCTGAAATCTCTTATCTGATTCTACATTATGTTATCATACATTGATACTGGTTGAATTATATGAAGAAAATCTGCCCTGACATAGATATGCAATTAGACAAGATGTGCAGTGTTTTAACAGCCTTTTAATTGTATTATTTAATACAACAGCAAAACTCAGCAAGTTGTAGTTTCTTAAAGGTTATTTGCTATGTACTGTCTGAACTTGTGTATTCTGTTAACATTAAAATTCATTAATTTAATCTTGTACTTTAAATGGCTCTTACACCCATGCACGATTTTTTTTTTTTTTGAGACAGGGTCTTACTCTGTCACCCAGGCTGGAGTGTAGTGGCATGATCATAGCTCACTGCTGCCTTGAACCCCTGGGCTCACAATCCCCCTGCTTCAGCCAAGTAGCTGTTACTACAGGTGTGTGCCACCATACCCAGCTAATTTTTAAAACGTTTTAAGAGACAGGGTCTCCCTATGTTGCTCAGGCTGGTCTCAAACTTCCAGCTTTGAGCAATCCACCCACCTTGGCTTCCCAAAGTGATAGGATTACAGGCATGAGCCACCATGCCCAGCCTCCATGCATGATTTTGTAAGACAATTTTGTAACTAAAATGTCTTCAAATATTGAGAAACTGTCAGGTTCATGATGGCGAACATAAGTTTTCCAAAATTCTCATTTTTTTTTTTTTGAGACAGAGTCTCACTCTGTTTCCCAGGCTGGAGTGCCATGGCAAAATCTTGGCTCACTGCAACCTCTGCCTCCCACGTTCAAGCAATTCTCCTGTCTCAGCTTCCCAAGTAGCTGGAACTACAGACACACAGCACCACACCTGGCTAATTTTTCGTATTTTTACTAGAGACGGGGTTTCACCATGCTGTCCGGGTGGGTGTCGAACTCCTGGGCTCAGGTGATCTGTCCACCTTGGCCTCCCAAAATGCTGGGAGAATCACTTGAACCCAGGAGGTGGAGATTGCAGTGAGCCGACATCGTGCCACTGCACTCCGGCCTAGGCAACTAGAGCAAAACTGTCTCAAAAAACAAAACAAAACAACAAAGCATTAAAAATAGATCTGAAACAAGAGATTAATCTGCATATAAAATATTCCTAACTAGCTCAGTATTTTGGTCCCTCCCTCCCTTACCTGTTGAGCAATATGAGAAATGTGAGCTCCTTGAACTGCTGAACCAGGTTGAGGCGCTGTCTCTGACGTGGTACTCTTGTGGGAATCTTCCATAATCAACTATAAGGGGAAAAAAGTCAGTTAAAATTAAACATGATACAGAATATTTAAAATATACTATACAGTCATATAAAAATTGATCATTTGCCTCAATGGAAAAGAACTGGTAGCAATGGCAGAGATAGAAAGGGGACTTTTCATATTCTTTAAATTGTTTTAATTTTGGCCCACAAAAACATATTTAAACTTAATAAAAGGCACATACGAACATAAACTATTATGACTAAATTTTCAAATGTTATCTCATTGAAGAATGATGACAGTCTTCCTGTTTATGGACATAACATATCTGTCTCCAGTTTAGGGAAGTTTCAAAGTATATATATAGTTTTATATACAGAATTTATTGAGTAAAAGTCGAACAAATAAAACTGTACCTAAGGAAGTTCTAAAGATCTCGAAAACTTAGATATCAACTTCAGGATATGTAGGCTGGGTGAGAATGAGAATAAATGAGCTATGAGAGATCAGATATGGCAAACAGGGAGAGAACTACTAACAAAGAAGCTGGTAAAAGATTTCGACAGAATTTAATGTTTTTAAAGGTTACCTGGAAAGACAAAAAAAGGTGGCCAGTCAGCAAGCATATGAAAAGATGCTCAATATCGCTAACTACTAAGGAAATGTACTGAAAACTACAATGAAATATCACCTCATACCCATTAGAATGGGTAACATCAAGACACAGAAAATAGCAAGTGTTGGCAAGGATGTGGAGAAACTGGAACCCTTGTATACTACTGTGCTACTGGAATGCAAATGATGCAGCTATTATGGAATATGCTATGGTAGTTCCTCAATTAAAAACAGAGCAATTTCACTGGTTGGTATATATATCCAAAAGAATTGAAAGCAGGGTCTCAAAGAGAATATTTGTACACCCATGTTCATGGGCAGCATTATTATTCACAATAGCCAAAAGGTGGAAGCAATCCAAACATTCATCAGTGGATGAATGGATAAATAAAATAGTGACTGTACATACAATGGAATATTGTTCAGTCTTAGGAAGAAACTCCTGTCACATGCTACAACATGGATGAACCTTGAGCATGTTGTGCTAAATGAAATAACCCCATCACAAAAATGAAAAGCTTTATGATTCCACTAATTTGATGTTATCTAGAGAAGCAAAATTCCATAGAAACAGGAAGTCGAATGGTGGCTGTCAGGAACTAGAGGAAGGAGGAAATGGAGAGTTGCTGTTTAATGGGCATAAAAAAGTTCTGAGCCAGGGATGGTGGCTCACAGCTGTAATCCTAGCACTTTGGGAGGCCAAGACAGGTGGACTGCCTGAGCTGAGGAGTTCGAGACCAGCCTGGGCAATATGATGAAGCCCCATTTCTACTAAAATACAAAAACAATTAGCTGGGGGCGCTGTGGAGAGGGAGGGTGAGTGCCTGTAATACCAGCTACTCGGGAGGTTGAGGCACAAGAATTGCATGAACCCAGGAGGCAGAGGTTGCAGTGAGTGGGTCTGCGCCATTGCACTCCAGCCTGAGTAAGAAAAAAAAAAGTCTGGACATTGGTTGTGCACCGTGTGAATGTACTTAACACTATAGAACTGTTTCAAAATGGTTAATATGACCAGGTGTGATGGTTTACGCCTGTAATTCCAGCACATTGGGAGACAGGCACAACAATCACGTGAGCCAAGGAATTTGACACCAGACCTGACAACATAGTGAGACCCCATCTCTACAAAAAATAAAAAATTAGCTGGGTGTGGTAGTGTGCTACTGTAGTCTCAACTACTCAGGAGGCTGAGGCAAGAGGATTGCTTCAGCCTAGGAGTCAACTAGTTTCCAAATTCTAGAAAAATCAGAGAAACAAGTATGTTCCAAATTTCATTCACAGCAGTATACTTTATTCAATTGCTACCAGCTGTAAACAGTTCACATGAAAATTTTCCTTGACTGAAAAAAACAAAGAATCAGCAGCATTTTAATCAAAGCTAAAAAGATTACTTCAGTTTTCTATTGGTTCAGTTAATTAAAGTAACTCATTTTATTTGATATTCACGAACATTCCAGCTCTTCATGAGTTCTGAAAGTTGTTTCCTCTATTATGTTACAATTACCAAAGCTATTAGAAACATGCATTTAAGAAAACCTGCTAGAGTTCTATAGCTAATTAAAAACTATATTCTAAAGACGATTAAAACAAGAACAATTGTCTGTGGATGATAAAAAGTTTTAGGAGAGTCACTATTAAAGCCACAAATAAGGACATTTGGTTACTTCTGTGGCACACAATATTTTGCATGACAATTATAATTATTATTAACATACACTAAGTCATATTAGAATTTCAGGAATTTCCCAATAACTTTGGAACATATAGTCCAAAGAAAACAAAATACCGTTTCACATTTGATAAGGCTTCCTGTATTTTTTTTTTTTTTTTTTTTTTTTTTGAGATGGAGTCTTGCTCTGTCACTCAAGCTGGAGAGCAGTGGCACCCTTGGCTTACTGCAACCTCTGCCTCCCAGGTTCAAGTGCTTCTCCTGCCTCAGGCTCCCAAATAGCTGGCACTATAGGTGTGCACCACCATGCCTAACTTACTTTTGTTTTTGGAAGAAATGGGGTTTCAGAATGTTGGCCAGGCTGATCTCAAACTACTGACCTCAGGTGATCTGCCCGCCTCAGCCTCCCAAAGTGCTGGGATTACAGGTGAGCCACGCCAATTTAAAACAATTATTTGACCCTTTAGGCAAAAACAAACCAAAAAAACACATTCCCACACCTTCTTATAATCTTTTACCAAAAGTACATTCTACTTTCCTTACATACCTTACAGGTAAAAGTGTTTCTTCAATAGTCTCAATTACATGTTACAATGTTAACTTTTAGCAACTTTTACTTTTGGTGAAAATCCTGGTTAGTAAGCAATTTGAATTATGTACTAAATGTGGAGACTAGCCTAGGACACACCAGGCAGAAGTGCAGATAAGAGCTGACTCTCCAGCACAGCTAGGGGCATGGCTAACTCCACAGGTCCCCAGGCCTTATCTAGAATCCAATGGCTTTAAGGTAAAGTGAACAATTTTTAAATGTCAAAGAAACAGTTTATGACCTTAAATCATGTAACAAAATATCTGACCTGCATAATTGAGACTATTTTTAATCAATTTGAAAGCTGTTTTTACTTCCCAAAGATTACTAAAGTTACATGAACCAAAAGGCATTAGTTTTTATTCTGCTTTCAAAACATTTGATTTAAATGCTTATTTTTAAACAAATAAATAAATGCTTATTTTTGTTTAGGCCAATTAATTAGAGCTCTTTTATATAAACATTACACACAACACCTACAAAGCTACACAGAAAAAAGAAGATGAATACAGGGGTTGCAAGATTTTTCACTTGACAGTTCTTAAGTTTCTTAATTGGATTACTGCCTTTGGAAGAACAGGGACAGGAAAGGGGTCTCTGGTGCCTCCTGTTTTCCCCAAGTAGTCCAGGCTTTCAGAGCTTGAGTATCTACTTTTAATTAAAACTGACTTTAACCACAGCACTTTTTAATAAAATCCTTTTAGAATTTTTTTTTTTTTTTTTTGAGATGGAGTTTCACTCTTGTTACCCAGGCTGGAGTACAATGGCGCGATCTCGGCTCACCACAACCTCCACCTCCTGGGTTCAAACAATTCTCCTGCCTCAGCTTCCCGAGTAGCTGGGACTACAGGCGTGCACCACCATGCCCAGCTAATTTTTGTATTTTTAGTAGAGATGGGGTTTCACCATGTTGACCAGGATGGTCTCAATCTCTTGACCTCGTGATCCACCTGCCTCGGCCTCCCAAAGTGCTGGGATTACAGGCGTGAGCCACCGTGCCCGGCCCCTTTTAGAATTTTTTATGCCAAGGCCAGGCTCACGCCTGTAATCATAGCACTTTGGGAGGCCAAGGTGGGTGGATCACCTGAGATCAGGAGTTAAAGACCAGCCTGGCCATCATGGTGAAACCCCATCTTTTAAAAAAAAAAGAAAGAAAGAAAGCAAGCAAGCATTTTTTTATGCCAAATGGCTGATATTTCTGGCTTTTGAACTTCACTAACGGTAACCCCCAGGTGCTTAGAGGAAGGAAAATTTAGGACAGTCATTCGGAAAAGAGAATAGACAAGGTCATGAAGATATTAAACCAGAAACGACTTACTTCCTAGGTGGGGAATCAAACTTGAACTGCCGCTGTGAAACTGCGAAAGTTGGCCAGGTAAGGTGGCTCATGCCTGGCCATTTTTTTTTTTAAATTACCATTCACTTAACCGTTTGTACAGTGAAGGAGAAGCCAGAAATCTGACTGGTAAGAAATTCTTACCCTTTTGCTGGCATGCCAGGCTTCTGGGTTCCCTTTCCCTTAGAGGTCCTAGTATTTTGGCTTGTGGCATTATCGCCCTGGGGGCCAAGCCGTATCATAAAGGAAAAGTATCTTTTCTTCATTCTGGCTGGAGCAACATTCGTGTGATTAAACAAAGACATTAGCCACTCCACTTAGCACCCAATAACCAACTGGCAAGGCTTAAAAAATTTGACCCAATGGGCCTGTCATCTTTAATCCAACCTTGGACTTGAGTTTCAACACATGGTCTGTTGGCAATATGGTTGCCCTCAGTAACAGAAAAGATAAGAAAAGCAAAGTAAAGGAGGAAAGTATTGCCTGTGGCAGGGTGGGAAGGTGAAGAACTTAGGGAAGTCAGAGCAAAGACCCACTCATTGCAGCAATGAGTTCAGGTGGCTGCTTGTCGGCAAAGGGATCTAAAGTTTATTTATTTATTATTTTATTTATTTATTTATTTATGATACAGAGTTTCGCTCTTATTACCCAGGCTGGAGTGCAATGGTGCAATCTTGGCTCACCGCAACCTCTGCCTCCGAGTAGCTGGGACTACAGGCTGCGCCACCATGCCCAGCTAATTTTTGTATTTTTAGTAGAGACGCGGTTTCACCATGTTGACCAGGATGATCTTGATCTCTTGACCTCGTGATCCACCCACCTCAGCCTCCCAAAGTGCTGAGATTATAGGCGTGAGCCACCGCGCCGGCCGGGATCTATCTTTTCCAGCAGTCCCATCAGCTCTCAAGTTTCCCTTTCTAGGGAGGAAAAAGCTCCCCATGTCCCACAATCCTGTACATGCCTAACCCTGTCATCCACAGCCATCAGCAAAGAGTGTAAGGCCAATTAATCCAAAGAGAACAGCAGCTAACATCCATCCTACAGTGCCGAACCTGTTCTCAGCTGAGCTGAGACAGACTTTACTGAGAGGAGACTCTAACCCAAGTTCACTCAAGCATCCTTGCCTTTTATTAAGAGGGACCTCTAACCTACTGTCTTAGGAGAGACTCCTAGACATATATACTGGATTTCCACTTCTGTGGCCACCAAAAATACGTTACAGGACCCCAATGCTTGCCCAAAGGTAGCCGTTGGGTCAGGGTTTCTGCACTATAGTCCCCCTTCATGGTCACCAGAAATATGTTACAGAACAGACATCCCGATCCAGACCCCCAACTGAGGGTTCTTGGATCTCGCACAAGAAAGAATTCAGGGCAAGCCAGCCATGGGATGTAAAAGCAAGTTTATGAAGAAAGTAAAGGAATAAAAGAATGGCTACTCCATAGACAGAGCAGCCCCTAGAGCTGCTGGTTGGTTTTTATGGTTATTTCTTGATGATATGCTAAATGAGGGGTAGATTATTCACACCTCCCCTTTTTAGACCATATAGGATAATTTCCTGATATTGCCATGGCATTTGTAAATGGCGCTGGTGGGAGTGTAGCAGTGAGGATTACCAGAGGTCACCCTTGTGATGACCATTTTGGTTTGCCTGGCTTCTTTACTGCAACCTGTTTTATCAGCAAGGTCTTTATGACCTGTACTTTGTGCTGACCTCCTATCTCATCCTGTGACTTAGAATGCCTTAACTGTCTGGGAATGCAGCCTACTACGTTTTAGCCTCATTTTACCCAGCTCCTGTTTAAGATGAAGTTACTCTGGTTCACACGCCTCTGACACCATCTCTACTATTATTTAAAAAAAAAAAAAAGGGCCAGGCGCGGTGGCTCAGGCCTGTAATCCCAGCACTTTGGGAGGCCGATGCAGGTGGATCACAAGGTCAGGCGTTCGAGATCAACCTGGCCAACATGGTGAGATCCTGTCTCTACTAAAAATACAAAAATTAGCCGGGCGTGGTGGCGTGCACCTTCAGCTACTCAGGAGGCTGAAGCAGGAGAATCGATTGAACAGGGTGGCGGAGGTTGCAGTGAGCCGAGATTGCTCCACTGTACTCCAGCCTGGGCGACGGAGAGCGACATTCCGTCTCAAAAACAAACAAACTGGCAAAGATAGTACAGTCTATATTAGAATCAGAAGGGACTGCCACCTGTTGGTGATCCGGTAGAAGCGGACATAGCTCACAGACCAAACCTAACCCTAAAAGACAACGGCAAGTATTAAAGAGAAAACACATTCGACTTTAGGACAACAATATTGATTCTAAGTAAGACACATTATAAACTCCAAAGAAAAAAGAGCACTTTAGAAGAACGCATTTCTTCTGTTAACAAAAACCGCAGATTAAAATGCACTTTCCGACATAAATACCTACAAACTCATCACAGGTGAGGCCAGTGTGACAAAGATGCCCGCCAGGTCCAAGCCAAGCTTCTGAAGCGTAAAGGTTCTCAAGGACTACCACCAACCCAATAAATGCTCTTCAAAATGCTAACGCCAACAGACATTATTTCACATAAAAATCATTTCAAAGCGATGCAGCCGCCCGCTGCACGGAGTCGACGAAAGTGAGAAATACGGAGCTTTGTTTCATGACACACAAGATCAAAGAGAAAAAGTCTCCTCGGTTGGGTCGCCCATCCAGAGGGGAACAGAAGCCCCTGTGTCTTTCCTAGCAGGGGAGAAGGCCGTCTGCTGTTCCCGCTCTGTCCCCGCTGCCAGGCGCATCTCTAAGACTGTCTGGGGCGTGCGCGAAGCCCGTGAGTCTGCTTGCACGCTAGACTGGAAGCTCCAGGAGGGTAAGGGCCTCCTCTTCCCCAGGTCGCCGGGGCCGTGGCGACCAGCGCAATCCGAAGACCCAGTCGCAGAGTTAATCGGACCCGGGATTCGCTCAGCTCACACCGCGCCGAGGCCATAGCTGCACCGCCCTTCGCCCGGCTCCGGGCCCAACCCCGAAACCTCCCAACGAGGGCTCGCGCCTGCGACCGCGGAGAGCGGCTGCTCAATGCAAAAGCCACCCCGCGGCGGCAGGTTTAGGGCTTCATTTTTATTTGGGGGCAAGGGGAAGAAGGAGACGCACGTCTGGAAAATCGCCCCGCAGCACCGAGGCGCGGGGACCGGAAGCGCGGGCGGCCCCTCCCCCTTCCGCTGCGCCCCCTCCCCCACCGGCGCCGACCGCGCGCGACCCCCAACCGGCGCGCGACCCGCTCTGCGTCCCCGCCGGCGCCACGTTCCCGCGCCGTTCCCCTCCCGGGCTACGGGTCACGTCCCTCCCCCGCCCCCGACTTACCTGTGGCTGCCGCCTCGCCGCTCTCCGGGGTGGGAACTTCCACTCCCCCCTCCCAGGTAGATCCGAATTCGCTACCCACTTCCCCACCCCCTCACGCAGCTGGGGACGAGCCTCCTTCTCTGGAGTCAAGCGGGGCGGGGAGAATCAGTGTCACTTAACAGCCAACTGGCCTAAGCTGCCGTTTCCTCGGCAGTCAGGGCCGCCACTGGCGGCATGATCTACACCAGGCAGGGGGCGGGGGTGGGGAGGGGGGCAAAACTGAGTGCAAGTGTGCGTTGTGGAGGATCTACGGCGCTGCCTCCGCGCGGGCCGCCGTCCTGCGTCACCGCGCTGCCCACGTGATGCGCCGCCATCTTGTACGCGTTCCTGACTTGCGGTTAGGGGTACCCCGGAACGCGTTCATCAGGCTGCGGTGGGAGAGGAACTCTTGTCCAAAGTTGAGTTTCTCCTCGGGAGTTCTACCCCGCCCCGCCTCACGTCCGCTTCCGGAGGTCAGCCGGGAGGCCGTTTTCATCGATAGTGGCGGCGTTGTCAACTCACCTGCCCCTTGACCTTGACCGACTCCGGCCCTGTCCTCTTCTTGGAAGGAGAAATGACTTGAAGCTTGAAGGCTTTGCCTTTTATTTTTTCCGAGATTGAGACGAGGTCTCGCTCTATGGCCCAGGCTGGAGTGCTGTGGCCGGATCTCGACTCACTGCAGCCTCCAACCCCTGGGTTCAAGCGATTCTCCACCCTTAGCCTCCGAGGCAGCTACGACCACAGGCGCGCACCACCACGCCTTGGTTGTAGAGATGAGGACTCATTATGTTGCCCAGGCTGGTCTTGAGCTCCTGGGCTCACGTGATCCACCGCCTGGGCCTCCCAAAGTCCTGGGATTACGGGCGTGCACCACCGCTCCCGGCCTTACTCAGATTTTTCTTAATCCCCTAAAGTAGCATTGAATTGTGTCCTTTAAGACATGTGGAAGGATTTTTACAGAAATGGGTTTACAATGACATGTAACAAGGTGTTAATAAAATGTTATGCCGGCCGGGCGCGGTGGCTCAAGCCTGTAATCCCAGCACTTTGGGAGGCCAAGTCGGGTGGATCACGAGGTCAACAGATCGAGACCATCCTGGTCAACATGGTGAAACCCCCGTCTCTACTAAAAATACAAAAAATTAGCTGGGCATGGTGGCGCGTGTCTGTAATCCCAGCTACTCAGGAGGCTGAGGCAGGAGAATTGCCTGAACCCAGGAGGCGGAGATTGCGGTGAGCCAAGATTGCGCAATTGCACTAGAGCCTGGGTAATAAGAGAGAAACTCCGTCTCAAAAAATAAAATAAAATAAAATGTTATGCCGTCGTTTTAATGCATTACAAAACTTTCCAGAATATTCTTTGTGTCTACCTCTCTGGAAAAGGAGTTATGCTTTATTCTATTTCTAAAAATTTCCTTGCAAAATGTTGTTATATGGCTTTAATGATGGTAAACGACAAAAGATAAACTTTGTTAGTATGCTCTTGACAAAAAGTTCTCAAAGTTTTCTGAAATTTTACTAGGTTGAGATCTCAATTTAGGAAACTTCCTATTTTTGGCCTTTGGGTCGGAAAATGTGGTTTAAAGCCGAAGATTTACTCTGCCAAAGTAAGTCACTTTAAATCACTGTGATTTAATGCCGAAGATTTATCCTTAAGACGTTGCTAACGTCTAGCTGCTGACATTCAGCAAACATCGTTGATTACCTATTAAATGCTAGTCCAGGGGACAGCTGCTATTACTAAGTCAGTGTTTCAGCATTACTGAAAGAAAAGTTGCCTATTTTCTCAGATGTTCTCAGACATCAAGCCTTCCATGGTTAACAAAGTCCAGCCTCAGCCATTCTGGAATCCAGAATATTGCTGGCTGGAAGGCTGGTGGTATGAGTGTCTTCTTTGACGTTTGTTTTTTTTCTTCTGTGGACCACAGCATGCTTAACAAAAGTTGATCAGTAAAAAGCGGGGGAGGAAGGACACCGAGGCTGAGGCAGGCAGATCACCTGAGGTTGGGAGTTTGAGACCAGCCTGCCTAACATGGAGAAACCCTGTCTCGAGTACTAAAAATACAAAATTAGCCGGGTGTGGTGGTGCATGCCTGCAGTCACAGCTACTCGGGAGGCTGAAGCAAGAGAATCGCTTGAACCCGGAAGGCGTAGGTTGGAGTGAGCCAAGATCGCACCATTGCACTCCAGCCTGGGCAACAAGAGCAACACTCCGTCTGAAAAATAAAAGGGTGGGGGAAGGGCAGGGCGCGGTGGCTCACGCCTGTAACCCCAACACTTGGGGAGGTGAGGTGGATGGATCACCTGAGGTCAGGAATTCGAGACCAACCTAACATGGTGAAATCTTGTCTCTACTAAAAATAAAAAAATTAGCCGGGCGTGGTGGGGTGAGCCTATTCCCAGCTACTCGCGAGGCTGCGGTAGGAGAATTGCTTGAACCCAGGAGGCGGAGATTGCAGTGAGCCACTGCACTATACAGCCTGGGCGACAGTGCGAGACTCCGTCTCAAAAAAAAAGAAAAAGAAATGGATTTAATAACACTGCCGATCACATAGGGTTTTGTAGACTGAATTCCTTTCATACATGTAAAGTTAAGAGCTGTGCCTAGTACATACTAAGCACTAAATAAATGTTGGATTTTTTTTTTTTTTAAGACAGTCTCGGTGTGTTGCCCAGGCTGGATTCCAGTGGCCACGATCTCAGCTTACTGCAGCCTTGATCTCTCAGGCTCAAGCCATCCTCCCACCTTATCCTCCCAAGTAGCTGTGTCTATAGATGTGCACCACCATGCCCAGCTATGTTTTAAAGTTTTCTGTAGAGATGGGATCTCTCTGTGCTGCCCAGGCTGGTCTCGAGGTCCTGGGCTCGAGTTACCCACCTGAGCCTCCCAAAGTGCTGAGATTGCAGGCGTGAGCCACAGAGCCTGGCCGGAATCTTCTTGATGTTGGTCAGAGCAGCCTGCAGGTTTCATGCACCTTTGTAAGCTCCTAGGTAGTGATGGTGACCGAAGCTATGAGGGTTGAAGAGTCAAACCCTCACCCAGAAAAAGTAAATCTGTTCACTTGAGAACAAATCACTGGCCCTTCTGCGATGAAAGAAGCTCGATGTTGTCAAATTGCTGTGAAGTGACCTAGCAGTCTTCTGGAAAAACCGTGCAACATTGGGAGTTCACTGTTGGTCTCTGTCAATGTTTAGCTGAAGTTTCAGAGATAGCAGTTGTTAAATCAGTTTTATTAAGTAGGAGTTCATGCATAGCCTCCACCTCTGCCACTGTAGCCACTCCATACATATGCTGATTGTGCCAGTTCCAAGAAGTCAGTTGATGGCTGACAACCAGCCGAGTCATTTTGTCTACTTGCATATTCAGTGTCTCATCCATGGCAGATGCTATTTAGTGGGCATTGACGTGAGGTAAACATCTTCACACCTTGTGCTCTAGCCCCATATAACTCTACTTCAGACCTTGTTGTATCCAGTCTTCTTCCAAGACACTGACCAGCTGGCCATTTGCCTCTGCCCATGAGTTCATATGGACTCTCACTTTGAGCCACTTCTTCCACACAAAATTGGTGAACACTTTAGTAGCTGCTCATTGGGAAGATCTCCCTTGCCACTGACTTTCAAGTTCACCCCTGAGAATAACTACAATTCAGTTCCCATCCATTTTTGGCTTGATCTCACATACTGAGACAACAAACCCATAAACTAAACTTGGGTTTTTTTCTGGCTACTTTAGCTGGACCTACCCCCGTGCTCCAGCATGGCCGCAGGTATGAGCTGAGTGAAGGACACTGTTGGTATTGGGTGGGTAGCACAGGGTTTGAGGTTGCCTGCTCGGGCTGCTTACTTGCATCCTCGGATCCTGCTTGGGCTTGATCCCAGGTGAAACATTTCCTTGTTACCATGAATTGGTGCTGGCCCAACTCACTTTATGATGTGGTGCATCTGACAGAATCCAGCTAATGACAGAAAACTCTAGACATATAGTCACTTGATGTCCCTAGTTTAGTTTCCCATTGCTTCCATGGCCCAGTGGCACACCAGAGCTGTCTTTCAGAAGGGAAATAATTCTCTACTATAGACAGCGTGTTCTTCCTCTAGAATCCCAATAGCCTACAGTGAATGTCCTGTTAGGTTTTGCCATAAACTTCAGTTTCTTCTTTCCAACACCATGGACTCTACCAGATCATAAGACTTCAAACCTTATTTTATTTATTTATTTTTTTTTTTGAGACGGAGTTTCGCTGTTGTTACCCAGACTGGAGTGCAATGGTACAATCTCGCAAGCAATTCTCCTGCCTCAGCCTCCCAAGTAGCTGGGACTACAGGTGCGCACCACCTTGCACAACTAATTTTTGTATTTTTAGTAGAGACGGGGTTTCACCTTGTTGATCAGGATGGTCTCGATCTCTTGACCTCGTGATCCACCTGCCTCGGCCTCCCAAAGTGCTGGGATCATAGGCGTGAGCCACCGCGCCTTGCTGGACTTCAAACCTTATTTAAAGCTGACCCTGGCCGGGTGCGGTGGCTTACGCCTGTAATCCAAGCACTTTGGAGGCCGAGGCAGGTGGATCACCTGAGGTCGGGAGTTCATGAACAGCCTGACCAACAGGTGAAACCCCGTCTTTAAAAAAAAAAATTTTTTTTTAAAAAAAGAAAGAAAGCTGACCCTATGCCAGCAAACTACCTGGAGCAAGGAGGGAATAGCAATAGATTCTCCCTCAGGGTCTTCAGAAGAAACCAATTGCATTGGACCATGATTTCAAAATTCTAGTCTCCAAAACTGTGAGACAATAAAGTTCTATTATT